AAATACTGTCCTTATTGTAATTTTCCTGTCAGTGTTAGCGTCGCTAGACAGACTATTAACAGTTTTTCTCATTTGATATCCTGTATGTAGATACTTGGTATTGTATTGTAATATTTGTTCAATAAGAGCGTCGAGACCTAATGGTTTATACCCTGACTTGATGTAATTATATAATCTTGCCGGTGCAAAAACTTTGTTCTGTCATCGGTCATATTCCTTATTGAGTTTCTGACGATGTACAGTGATAACAAAGGGTACTCCTAGATGATTTTTTTTACATTAGAAATTTTGACGGTTAATTTAAACAACTACAGATATAAGTTATAAATAGTACTTGTTAGTACAAATGCTATAGCCATATTAATATCAAAAGTACACCAGCATTAAAGTAGGTAGGTACTATCTGTAGTTGTCTAAATTAACCGCCAAAATTTCTACTGTCCTAAATTTTAGTACAAATCGATTTGTGTAGACTGACTATATGTCCGTCTGCAACAGATACATAGGTTAGAGATCATGCTATTAAGGTATTACTCGCTATTACGTACGTTTGTACATCTTATAAATCGAGTAAAGAATGCCCGTTAATACGCTCTGCCAGGTACTAACTCATCTGAAATACCAACATAATACGACAGAAATACTGAAAACCGAGAATTCTGAAAGAAAAGCACTTTTTATATGCATAATTATTTATTTGTATATATTACATAAAATAAAATACATAGACATTTTTCTTAAGACTATTTTTCAAACAGCTAATACTAAAATTAAAATTTCAAATTAGCACGGAATAAATTAACAATAATCATTTTCAAAATATGTACTTAGGTACCATAACCATAACAAGATAATATCAGCAGACACGCGTTTGCTTATTTGGGATTTTACACATTATCGCATACTCTATGAATAATTTGTTAATTATGTAAATGAAATAATGGCATTTTAATTTGACAGATGCTGATGCTTCTCTTGAAATATATACATATAATAATTCACCTAGAATGGGCGTGCTGCATATAGAGAAGCTGGAAAGAAACACTTTTCAAACTATTGTAATGTAAGCTAGTCTTATAGCATCACGGGAATTAAAAAGGGACAAGTCTGCACTAGCAAAAAGGCATTCCAAATTAGGAAAAGGACTTATGGAGCGGATGAAGGCTAACCTTCTACCTGACGAATACGACTTTAGTCTAAGGGCAAAAATTGGTTTTCGAAACTAGGCTTAGGCCGTTATTTCAATACTTGTTAGAATAGAACAGAGGATCGATTGCTGTAGTGAAAAAATTAAAGCGTAGATATGTACGTGCACTACAGAGAAGTTCTTACTCTTAGGTTGCTTCTCTATTCAGTGGTACAGATTCAATAATCTGTGGAGTGAGTTTGTAACACTGAATTAATAGATTACGTAGGTATCTTCTATCTAGAATAATAACTTAGGTATTTGTTGTTTTTAGCGTGCACTGCACTCCCACACCTCTATCACGTTAAAGGAACGGGGTAATTAAATTGGCAGTGTACGATTTATTGGAACAGCAATACTTATAAGTAATGAATATAAATTATACTATTTACTTAGTTATAAATTATACTAAATACTTATTTGCGCAAATAAAATAACAATTCTTCAATCCCTACTACCTACTATTACCTACTTATTCCATACAACAATGTTTATAATTAGAGGTGATGCAGTAAAATATGATATGGTGTGACCTTACTATAATTATGTATGATTACTGAAAATATTCTTTTCAGTGATCATTCATTATGATAGAAAGGTAGGCTGGTAAATAATCAGCGTAACATAGATTCAACATTCACTCACAACATTTAGCCTTGAAGACAAAAATATCATGGTAGTATTTTGACCAACAAAATCACAAATAAAATTATATGTCAAAGAAAATGTAGGTCTATGAAGAAGTAGGAAAAATGTAAAGATGTAAATAAAAAAAAAAGTAGGAAAATGAAGAAAATGTAAATCTAGGTCCTGTTTTTTTTAACTATACTAATGCTGTTGGCCGTAGCTTACCTTTGCAGCTGGACCGGGCGAAATTAGTGGAAAACCAGAGGACACTCAATGCCTGCGGAAAGACTTATGTACCGAGTCCTGCCTGACGGATACAACTTTAGTATAAGAGCACCGCTAGGCTTAACCTCGGCTCAGTCGTTGTAATTTCGATTCCCGTTAGAATGGGCGTGGGGATCGATCGCAGGGGGGTTGACAAGGATCCTCGCACCGTAAGCATAATTCGGAACACCTGATTCAAAGTACAGATAATCAATTAACATGAAAGTAATTTTATACATCGTTATTTTGAAATAAAAATGTGTCATTGTCTACTAAATATACTGAGGACAGAAAAATAGAATATATGAATTTAGATAATATATTACACATTACTGATATGTACATGAAAATGAAAACTACTGGGTACTCTATTCAAATTGTACTTTTAAATTAACAAATAATATTATTCATTCAAATACGAAACTAATAGTATAGTGATATCTTATATGTATGTTGTGTGTGTTCCTATAAGTTTATATGTGTAGATAGTGTACATAAATAATTTTGCGTTACTGTATTTATCTATTAACTACGAGTTAAACAATAAAAGATAGCTGCTTTTTCATCAGTGACCATTTATAACATGCTGAAATAAAAAAAGACCAATAAGAACTCTAAAATAGACTTTTATTTTAATCATAGCGGTGCACAGTGGGAACTTTGACTCATTTTCATCTCATAAATCTATAACTTCTTTATTAATAAAGATATGTACATGATTTTTTTTTCCTGATGATCTTAAATATATATACTTTTAAATAATGTATGCTTTGTGAGTAAAAAAATATTTCTAATAGTTATAAATAATGTAGGAATACAAGAAATATAGAATTTGTAGACTTACATTTATGTCCTAAGAAGTTTATACAGAAATAAGTAAAAGTATACGTAAAAAACTAAAATTCTTATAAAGATGGCTTACAAGTCACTCAAGAGCTGCTTTGCTTCATCAAAAAGTACTAAATATTTTTTATTGGAAGGTTTTCTTAAACTTGTTATGTATGGGTCAGAGGTATATAAAAATGCGTGTAGAACATCTTTGTTAGAGGCTACTCAATTTTTGCTATATTGGCATCTGAAGATTCGGTAAAATTATTTCGTATATAGTTTGAGATAGAATCAACATAATTTGTATCACTTTAAATCAATAAGAGACTTAAGTCGCGTCTGGTACACGAGAATTCACTCATTGGGGCGAGATGAGTAATTAACAATTGTTTAGTAATGACAAATGCTTATGAAGAACTGTAATATTTCATATGCAAATACATACACTATTTTATACTTAATAATGATCATATACGTGTGCAAAATTACTTGATAAAAAATATTTATCATTATGCTGTATAGAATAGGTCTGTATGGGAATGGGAACTATATACTGTGTGAAATAGTTGAGAAAAGTAAGGCAAAAGATAAAATATAAAGTAATGATTGAGCAAAAAGTATTTTTTTGAGTATTCAGACAGAGAATCTCAAATAAAGAAGAAAATCTTAATATACGTACTTAGAAAAAACAAATCTCACCATGATATTATACTCGATTTAAATATTTTACGCAGTCAAACTGCAAAAAAAAATGTTATGCCATCAAATTAAATTATATTTTCTAATAAATAAAACCAAATTTAGAACTTCGGCAAGCTTCGGCAACTGTCGAATCTCCAAGTGAAAGTTTGAGAAAAGAAAATAGTACATATAACGATACATGGATTTTTAGTTAAATAATATTCGACTAAACTAAATATATTTTTATTTTATAGTAAAGTACACATTCTATTCTAAAATGGTATCACACTATATGACTTGATATTGTTTTGATACTATAAACTTATACCAAACAAATTTAAGTTACAAAATTATTTTTGTATTTGTTTCATTCCTTGACTTTAGCGGCTCTATTCTATGAAGTATGAATAGTCAGAGATTTGAATCATATTTATAATGATAGAGTAACTCTTTGGCTACATTGAGGTTATACATGCATATCCACGGAGTTTTAGAAAAAGTATTTATGAGATGGCTTTCTTAGGCGATAATTATTACACGCGTAAGAGCATAAATAACTATGTTTTTACTTTATTTGACAGATCAAATTGGAATTTGAATTTAGAAATTTAGCATTACAAGCTATGCTACCTCGGGTGTTGTCTCTTCGTTTTCACATGCTATTTATTTCTTTATCTTCGGGTAAATTAATGGAGATTGATGTTAAACGGACAATAAATTAAAAAACTATGTGTTTTGGATATTAGCGTATTCAAACAAACCCTATATTTCATTCACTATTTACGCTTTATATATTAGTAAAGAATTAATATCTCTATTATCTTACATATTACTATACATATAATAAAATCATGACAAGGCAAAAACTGTCTCATTGTCTGTGTGTTAAGTAAAATGGCTGGAGGAAATTTGGATGATTTAAATTCACAGAACATCTTGCTAAATTTGAATGGCTAAAGAAATCTTAGAAATATACTATATAAAAAAGGTAAATTAAGTAGTTTTTTTTAATTATTATTTTTAATACACCATCTACTTATTGTTATTTATAAATACAAGTAACTGTGTCTGTTACTCTGATGATTGAAATTCATTCAGTAGTTTTGCGTGAAAGAGTAACAAACATCCATCCGTCTATCTATTCATACTCAGAAACTTTCAACTGTATAATATTAATAAGATATAGAAGAATAGTCGGGTGTTGTATAATTACTTACATGGTGTCTACAAATGAACACGCGAAGGAAGACGAGGGCACGAGTAAATTATATATGTACACTTACATATGGGCTCAGCAGTATGTCAATATTCACCTTCACCTCTTCTCAGAGACATTCCTAAGAATAGTGCTCGCTACAGACTTAGGATAGGTTTACAGTTTCGTTTTAGATTTAAAATGGTTACGTAGTAGATTAGAATTGATAGTCTATGGGGAGTGGCGTGGGGGGAGGAGGGTCTCAATGATAAGGCAATTGTAATATAACTTTCTTATGATTGCTATACTTTATTTTACAGAACAAAATATTATATTAAAGACATATTTCATGTGAATTAATCTATAATATGATCTCTCTTGTAGCAAGGTTCATTAGAACTACCTTGTAGTTATTTCTTTGAAGAATAACAAACATTTATCCGTCCCTCCTTACAAACTTTCATGTTTATGGTATTTGTAAAATTACTTTAATGACGTCGGTGGTGTAGCAGCTGAAAATAACCTTGCCACTGTCGCTAGTTCAAATCCTGCATATTACAATCAATCATTTGTATTAATGACAAGTATTTTGAATTTTTCTGTACATTTAAAATGCATAAATTATTTGTCTAGTACAATTTCTGCTTACATGGTAATAATTATATTCATGAACTTACTTACAAGCAGCTATTAATAAAAGCTAATAACCAAAAAATTAAACTCATAAGAATGTCAATTGACAGCTAATTGATAAACTGGAACTTACTACTGGTACAAGGTTCAAGGTTCTAAGTATTATTTAGCTTGTATATCTTAAATAAATTATTATTAAATAAAAATAATTCCTCTGTAGCCAGAAGGAAAAAACCCAAAAAGTTTATTTAAATATTACAGTATTACAATAATAGATAGTATAAAATAAAGTAACTGAGATTACCTTCTCTATAACGGACTACTGTGTATTTGCTTATATCTAAAAAGTAGAAATACATAGTATCTTTTTAAAAATTATCTGAATTAACATATAATCTACCTACACCTAAATTAACTATACCATAAGATCGTCTCTTGAGCAACAATTCATTGTTACGCCATGCAGGACTAGATAATTGTTGATTTACAATAATAATATTTGGAGCGATATCATCTAATTTATAATAAATATAAATAAATTTGGTCAGCCATCATCTGTCTGTTTTCCTTCAACGTGTTCTTTACCATTAAGCTCCATAATTTCGCTCATAGTATTGGACTCCTTTTTACTGATATGCGGATCAGGACCTATTAAGGACAAAACTACTGGAAGAAATAATAAACCATTGAAAAGTCCAAATATAATAACTAATAGGAATATTTTAAAAAATGACTGGAATGTATACGTTTTGGACATGCTGAGAAGAGACAACGATAAGAAAGTTGAACCTCCACCCAATAATACTGCCGCGCCGATGGAGGTAACCGTTTTTAGTGCTCTAGTCGTTCTATTACCATCTCTAATAATCAAAAACGTGTGACCGATATGAGCAGCGTAATCGACACATAAACCTATTGCAAGTTCGAGACCAATACAGCAAACAATGTCCACGGTCATATCCCATCTTTGCATCCATCCCAACACATTCACTATCGTTAACAAAACACAAAGAAATATCCAGAAACACATTTGCAAATTTGTAATCAAAATTATTGTACAAACCATGACACACAATAACGCCAATTCTATATTCCTTTCAACTTCAGTGGCTATAATTTCGTCGGTTACCCAATTTGCAAACACTTTAGACCACACACTTCGGTAACCGTCTCCTGTTGAGATCGGAGCAGACTTTACGACACCTTTTACATGATTCATAGCCGGTATGTATTCCTTGGGTCCATTAAATCTTTCAAATTTGAACTGCATTGAAGATCCCGTTATATTTGTCACCGGATATCCACAGCGAAGGGGTTGTGTGAATCTAAAGTATGGCTGGAATCGTCCGCCAATAGAACTATACAGAAATTTTGATAAAAATTCATCGAATTCTTCATCTGTCGCTGAGGTTGTGTTCATTAAATTTACTTCGAAATTTCTTAATACATATTTATAAAAGGAATCTACCCAAGTAGACACATCATCAATATAAGATTGGTTCTGTAATTCACGTGACAAATTATATAAATTTGGAAATTCATAACGATAATTCATTTCCCCAAGGAATGCCATCCCTAGATGACCCTCGTCTGGGTAATAAGTATCGTATATGGTAAGATAATCTTTATAATAAGTACCATCCGGAATAAACCATTTTGGATCAAATCTTTGTTCTAATTTAAATATTGCACTTGTGCTGAAACCAGTCATCACTATTACAAATAAAATTATAGTTGTTCTACCAACAGAAGTAAAAACTATATTTTTATAAAATTTTGTCAACCACCTTTGAAATATAGTTTCGTTTTTAGATATGGAAATATCTTTTGAATGCTTGTAACAAAATAATATACCATTTCTGTTATCCTGTATTCTTCTTATATCTAGAGTAAAAATAGCGACATAAAATGTAACAGAATAACAAAATATAAAAAATACACCAATAGCAGCATATATGCAAAACGATTTCAATGATGGTAAAATGGTAATAGCTCCAATAAGAAGTGCCACTATATCAGTAAAAGATGTGATTACAATGGAAACACCCGCATGTTCTAACATTAGACCAACTTTTATTGGAAGACTTTTTTTAGATTCATTCTCAGATAAGTTCTTCCAAGATGCATACATGACAAACATATCATCTATACCAAGCCCCATCAATAGAAATGGTAAAGATGAATGTACTGGACCAAATGATATACCCATTATTGAACACCAGCTTATTGTTGTTATATATGCCATGCCTATACAAAGGAGTCCAACACTGCCTAAAGTTAGTCTGATTTCTAACCAATTGAACCGTGACAAAGCAAATTGTATGTATAAAAACATTAATATAATCCCTAAAAATAATTTATCTATTTCTTTAAACATAGCCTCCCCACTGATATCAGCAAAACTTCTTCCAGCTTCATAATATAAATTAATATCAGTTAAATTTTGTGAGAAATTCTGCATTAATTCTATAAATTTGGATTCCCACATAGCCAATGGTACTGAAACCCAATCTTCTGTACCAACTAAATTACCAACTTCATTGATATCAACATCAGACATGTTCACAAGAGTATACCATGTTAACAGAATTGATTTTGCTGATACTACATCCCCAGACTCATCACGCTCAATTCCACCAAACAAAGTAGTATAATTCATTGGATGGCCTGTGACAGGATTCTTAGTTACATGATTTACTTTCTTTATTATATCATGTTTGGTGGCACTACTTATTAAATTGATATCATTGTTCCATAAATCTAAAATATTATGCCAATGACAGGTTGATTCAAAAGAATTTACAAAACTACAGTAAAACATGTTACCAATCCACATATTAGGATCTTTATAGTCATCATCACTGTTTGTATTATTGTTAGCACTATCATTCACAGAGTCCAATGATTTTGAATTACTGTTTGAACCATATACATCGACAATGGGCACTGTATAACACAAATCTTTTAAACTGTACTCCTTGTCATCATATGTAATTTCAAGAGATTTTATTTCCTTTGTAATATTCATGATATGTTGTAAAACTGTTGGCTCCATCACATCATCTGCGGTGATAATAACTCTTTGTAGTCTAAAGTTAGTTTCAAATTTATTAATGTACCAGTTTGTATCTAAATAAAAATCAGACTCAGGTGGTACCCACAACTTCATAGGATTTTTTTCTATATGAAAATTCATCAGTCCAATGCAACTCAATAACATGAAAGACCATGATGCTATTATAGTTTTCCATGGGTTTCTTGCAACCAACACTCCAAGGGCAAAAAATATTCTCTCAGTGAAATGAACCAGAGCCGAAGAACCATACTCCCATAATTGCTGAGGTGAGTTGTTCTTCTGTTTAGGCATTTTTCATAGGAATACACTTATCAAATCTTCACTTCTCACACAATATTAATTAAAGTATACATTTAAATGTTATTTAAAACCATATACATTATATAGCAAATAATAAACAATTTCATTCAGAGAGGAGAATGATAATAATAATTTATAATTTACGCGCGTCGACCGTCTCACAATCGGGTGCTATGAATAGCGACTGACACTGATATGCTATCGGCGGACTTATCTCCTTGCCAGTCTTTGCATTCACTAAGCAGTTAACAAATTATTCAATTTATAACTTGCCTTCAACTGCAACGGTGCACTACACTAACTCTATAATTATTTTCATATCGTAAATTATCTGCGGACTTCGAATATCTCATACATATTATTTTAAATAGGTTCAAATTTTGTTATATGACATATCACAATGTTAATATATAAACTACTTACCGGATTACCTTCTTAAAATATATTTTTTAAATAATATTTTACCATATATTACTTCAACATAGAATAATTTTAATATTATTGTTCACAAATAATGACAATATTTTTACTAACGTATGGTTAAATTTGTTTTAAGTAGTGTTGTTTGACAAATACTATTGTAATTCAAGCACATAGACTGGGACAATATACTACAAATTTTAAATTATTACAAAAGTCATTTACGATGACGAAAGTAAATATTTAAATTTAATTTGAAAATGTAAATAAACAAATATGATGTTAAAAAAATAAGCTGTGTTGCTAGATTCTAAATAATTTATCTCCAAATTGGTATTAATAACTTAGAACAGAATTAGAGAAAGTTAATACCTTGAGAAAATATAAATTACACATATTACATAAATTAAGAGAGTATATTTTATTTTTATTATACAATTATAATATAGGAAGTACATTTATAATATTAGTAAATAAATGTACACGTATATAAATACTATAACTAGTTTTTGACTTGAACTCCACGTTCATGAATTTTGCAGCTATGGACTACCATACATGTTAAATAATAGTGGTAGTGACCACTATTATTTATACCATGTATTTCTGTAGCTGCAGGAAGGTAGGAAAGTGAAATGGTCAAAACAGCCAAAAACAATATACATGTGCATATATAGTAGATATTTACATATACAGAATATAAAAATTGTATATAAATCGCCACAAACTCAAAGATCAGAAGGAGGTAGATGTGATACAAAGGAATTAGGACTAGACAGACGAGATTATTTGTTTTTATGAATAATATTTATTTATTGGAACTAAAAATATAATATTTTACAAAGTAGGGCAGTGTAACGATAACAGCGTAAAATTAGTAAATAATACTGTGTTGATGAGATTGTTAAAGTAATAAGGAAAAATTGATTACTGTTTTATTCTGTGTTTTCATTAATTTTACCGTTTAAAGGCTAATATGTTTAAAGCTGGTAACAAACGAATAAATACAGATTAATTACATGCACAGATTCAATAATGCAAAAACAATAATATGTACTATTCAATTAAAAAAAAACATGAATAATTATAGTTGTCAAAGTCAAATATCAATCTGGATTATAATGTCATTGTCAGAAATTATGTCATTTCTACCTATTTCAAATAGGTTATCTCGGCTATTATTTATTTGATAATATTTAAATAAATAGAATAAAACTTTTTTTATATCTTTTGTACATCCAGCTACGCAATTAATAATTACTGTATTGAGTATTCTGTAATGTTTTAGAATTAGCGATCAAAATGTGGACGACAAAAACTTTTTTAACCAAAACGAAACGCGGCAATATTCTAAAAGTAATGTTTACTTAATGTTTTAATTAATCTCAGCGTGTTTTATATTCATAATTTTGATTTCATGTATTATTCTTTTTAATGGAAGATAATATGCCGTACGAGTGTGGTAGAAAAAAGAGAGTACCTTAACTTTTATCCCTATTACGATTGAAATGACAAATAATTTGTTATTTGTTTTGTTCGTTCATAATTTATTTGTTCTCAATGTTAGCGCTGACCTTCATCTTCGCTTATAAAAAAAGCCCTGTAGTTAGTAGTTAAAAATATTTCCTCATGCATGATTTCAAATTCTGCTTTCTTTATAGATTGTCAGGGAACACTACTTACGTGATGACTTGCTGTGTGGTTCTGCTGCTTGCAATGTATGCCCACATAAAGATGACGAGTATGTTTTGGATACAAAACCAGAGTCTATATGTACATTATTTGACTACCCACATTACTTAGTTCTCGACACTAATGTGGTGCTTCATCAGATAGATGTTTTGGAGGAAAATGCTCTCACAAATGTGATAATTTTGCAAACAGTTTTAGAAGAGGTAAAACATCAGAATACAGCTATATTCCAGAGGCTTCTAGAAGTAATTGGAAATAAAAGAAGAAAGTTCTATTCCTTTGTCAATGAACATCATAAGTGAGTAGCTCTGTAATTGCATGTCACTAGTGTTTTCTTATACATTTTGTAGTTTTAGTAAATAAGTCATTAAGGACTTATATTATGAAAAAAAACTGTGGTTATTATCTAGGGCATCACTTTGTGTAATTCCAGTTGGAGTGTGAATGACAATATCATCTTAGGAAATCTGAGTGTGGCATTTTATTAGATTATTACTTTAAATATTATTGTAATTTAATTTGAATATTTAGATTTATTAAATGTTTTTCATTATTTAACATCAAAGATTTTGCAATTTGTCTTGCATCATCTCTACACCTTAAATAATATTGGCTTATCTAGGGTATGAATCTACCATTGTTAATACATTTAGACACTACTGTTACTCTTTGCCTAGCTCAGCAAATTCAGCATAATTTTAATTTGCAATAAATAAAAATTTTCTTTCACCAATCCTCAGTAAAGTGTAATCTAATATATTTAAGTCGGGTAAATGGGTTGGATATGAGATTGAACCAGACCACCCTGTCCATCTGCCTGAGTATTCTGCATTAAGGTATTCTCTAAATGACATGGAATAGTACACTGGGTAGCCATCATGTGCCTGTTATAGAATGAAATAATTTATTTGTAAATATTACTTCTCTCCAGAGATACATATGTGGAAAGGAAACCAGGAGAGAAACAAAATGACAGAAATGACAGGGCAATACTTAAGGCTGCCAGCTGGTATGAAGAACATTTGTCCAATAATAGTGTAAATGGGCAGAATCCAAAAATTGTACTAATTACTGATGATGAAAAGAATAGGAATATTGCACAAGAGGAAGGAATTATTTGCTGTTCTGGTAAGTGGCATACATAAGATATGAACAATATTCATGTTTGGTGGTTCATCATTGTTCATCATTATCAACATACTTCCCTACAGATTTATTATCCTTTTCTCATTATATAAATTAACAGTACATTTGAATATTATATTTATGTATATATAGAACTCTTGCACGGTCATTATCCACTAAATACTTCTACTGTCACTTCATTAGGTTGGCGGGAAGAGATCTCTTCTCAGAGCTGAGCCCACCCTTACTGACATTTTCTTTATAACTATGTTATTTTATCATACATTTATATAAGCGATAAAGAATATTTAACATAATATCACATTGCTGAGATTGGGTATTCTCACAGTACCATTTGGTATATATATATTTATATCCTGCATATCTTCCCTTACACTGCTATTATTATGTTATGTTCTATGTGTAAAAATTTAAAGATTTATTATTGAGTTTACACATTGTGTAAATTCTTATGTGGTTGCTGTGTCTGCAACTTTGTGAAGACCAGTTGGAGTAACTAATAACGAAAACCTATAAAATTGATATGTGAAGTGAAGATAGTTTCTCTATTACTACTTTATGAAATCTTAAACTACTTGTTATTCTTTATTATTACAATAATGTAAAAAATAATATTTTATCCTCTATTGGGACATATAGTTTTGTATGGTTTCCTCATGGATAACATTCCGTTTTGATATAGTACTGAATTTCATGCATATACTATATAAAATGTTGTAATTATTTTACAGTGAAAGATTATATTGAAAATGTGACTGGCTTTGTCGGACTTGTTGATAAACTATCCAAGAACATTATGCCAGAAAGCTATTCAAAGGATGCATTGTACCCAGCACATCTAACACCTGCAGAAATCCATAGTGGTATCCGTAATGGTAAATTCCACCAGGGCACATTCCATGCATCAAGGGACAATTTTCTGGAGGGATCTGCATCAGTAAATGGTTATGAAAAATCGGTAATAATAACTTTATTCATTGTATATACTTTTGTATACTATCTGTAGTAAATTCGAAAAGTAGTAAATAGGAAAGTAAATTCTAACCAGCACCAGTTCAAAAAATTCTTTTACTATTTGAAAAGTTCATATTATTTCAGAATGACATAGGCTATGTAATAATAATAAACTAGAATATAATAATGCAGCACTATCTAGTCCTAAAGTAGATAAAGGTTGTATGGTGGGTACTAAATAACTGTTAAAAATAGTTAAATATTTGTGTTATAAATATTTATATAATATAAATACAGATCAATAACAACCACCATAATCATGAATATAAGTGTTTGTATCATGCGAGAATCGAATAAACGACTTTCGGAAATAACCACCAAGGCCGTTATTATTATGCCGTAATTTGTAAAACATATATACAAAACTCACTCAGTCATGTACACCTAGGCAGACTTGGGACTACTGGTATCATAGATGTAGTGCTTTTTACAAATTTTAAATTAAATTAGAATATTTCAATTACAACAAAACTTCTGTATATTCTTAGATCTTACTACAAGGACACGTTGGTATCAATCGAGCAGTAGATGGTGATCTTGTGGCAATTGAGGTGTTCCCCGAGGAAGAATGGCGAAAGCCAAGTGACATTGTCTTAGAGGATAAAGCTGATGACCCTGGAGACTTACTTGAAGAGGAATCGGTGCTTTTAAAAGCAGTAAAACTGGTGGACAATAGAGATGAAATAACACCAACAGGGAAAGTGGTGGGCATAATTAGGCGAAAATGGAGACAATACTGTGGCATATTGGTGCCTAGCAAATTTCCAGGTAAGCTTTTCTTTATTAGTGTAACTCAGCAGGGACTGCCCCAGCTTATGAATGCAATAAATATTAATAGTATTAATAATTTTTCGTTACCGTCCAGGTATACAGTATACAGATTCAATGAGAAGAACTGGCAAGAAACTCAACTAAATTTCTTACATTGTGTACTTATGTAGGTGTCTGTTTAGCATTCAATTAAAATCCCGTGCATGACCAACTATTGCCATGCACGTTTATCATTCAAACAGTCATCTAGTCAGTAAGTTTACCGCAAAGTAATCAAAATATATGTCTATAAGACATTGCTTTGAGCGATAAGGCCGCATTTTGTTAGCATATTTTTTTTATATTAAGTTTGTTTTGTATTTTTTTTGTACATATTAAAGTTATTATTATATATTTGATAACAAGAAATATTTTGTAGGTGCAACTCGTCACCTATTCACACCAGCTGAGAAGCGCATCCCGCGCGTTCGTATTGAGACCCGTCAGAGTGACACGCTCGCTTCGCAGCGCATCCTCGTCGCACTCGACTCATGGCCTCGGAACAGTCGATATCCGCTCGGACATTTTGTTCGAGCGCTGGGTCCTATCGGTATGCTTTTTTCTAATAAGTAGTAATATTATGTAATTTTAACGCTTTCGGTATACCGTGGCGAAGCACAAGCAAGAGAATTATGGAATTAACATAAAGTTAGAATAGCCCACCATTTTGAATTCAGATAAATTAACTACAGGTCTTCTGGTAGGACCACATGGGCAGCAACTTGATACTGATATCCTCTACCCACAGAGTATAAAGAATGCTTTGTTAGAAAATGTGTATAACAAAATGATAGAGGCACAATATGGAAAATTCAAAGGCATACATATGCTACTTTCGATTTGTATTGATCTTTGACTGCCTGGATATGGAAGATATTTATACTGAATTTTTAGTGATGATACTATATGGATCAACCTTTTATTACGGAACAGCTACGGAACTCTCGGAATGCCTACTTTAATAAAATTATTTATGTGCTTCTGATAAATAATTTTATTGCAGTAAATATTTCTGCTACATAATGTGTATATTTGTAATTTTAAACTAAATGTTTCTTCATAAAGTGACTAAAAGTGTTAAATTTTGTTTAACAGGTGATAAAGATGCTGAAAACGAAGTAATATTATTGGAACACGATGTACCGCATGCTAGATTCAGTGAGGCAGTGCTCTCGTGCCTACCACCTAACGACTGGACCATACCTCCAGAGGTAACTGTGCATAACCTAATACAACTGATATATGCTTAATAACCAATAATATCTCAGGACAATTCACAGAACGCCATCTAGTCCCAAACTAAGCAGAAATTGCGATATTAAAAAAAAAATGCATGTATAATATACACATCAAATACCCAGACTTATGCAAATATGAATACAAATATTTGTACTGTGCGAGGAATTGAACTCGCGACCATCGGGCGTAAGGCGGTGTGCTAGACCAGCAAGGCTGTAAGAAAGTGTCTGCAACTGATACATATTATACTATTGTAGGCAACACTGCATATGTATAATTTATTATATATTTTATATGTTATTTACTTTTATACGATATATATTGTTTACTCTATTGTTTCAAACTGTATGCTTTACGCAGTGCTAATATACCTACATAACAAAACGTTTTTAAACGGTACTATTCTATACAAGCCTCCACACCAAATCATTGCTTAGTAACTTCCCCCCAAAGAAGGCGAATGAACCTTGTTAATGTTCCTAGTTTAATTGCAATAGCTATTTTATTTTGATTCCTTACAACTATAGAGAGAGCTAACTATAAATAATTGTAAAAAAAAATACAAAATGTGTGAAACAAATAACAAAGACCATATTTTAAGCATTAAATATTAATTTTATTTCATAACTATGCAGGAGATCAAGCGTCGTGTGGATCTGCGTTCGGTGTGTATATGCTCGGTGGACCCGCCCGGCTGTACCGATATTGATGATGCATTGCACGCGCGGCCGGCCGCCACCGCGGGCGTGTTCGAGGTCGGCGTGCACATCGCGGACGTCACGCACTTCGTCCGCCCCGGCACTGCACTTGACAAGGAAGCCGCCTCGCGGTCCACCACTGTCTACTTGGTCGACAAGAGGATTGATATGGTGCCAGGTGATTTGTCTACATGTTAAAATATTATTATTCTAGAGAGTTATTTGTTTATATGTTAATGTGAGATTGGTATATAACAGAACGATTGTATTAACTGAATGATGTATGCATAGAATGGAATACAAATAATGAAAGAATGGGTAGCAGAGTGAAGTGAAGATTGAATGAGTTTGAGGCCTGAATGAGATGAACGCTAGAACGATTAGCACACGAACGGTTTCCAAAGTAACTTGAGAAGTTTTATTACCATAAACCTAATAAATAGTCTTATAATTTCATATTATAATTTGTAAATAGGTTGTTAACGTTTATGGCCGTTAGAGCCCCTATATTGCTCCTTTAAAATCACTATTGTGAAACCATCTTTTTACTATTTTCTTTTAGATTTGCTCAGTTCCAATTTGTGTTCGCTGCGCGGCGGAGAAGAAAGGTTAGCATTCTCTTGTGTGTGGGAGATAGACGAGAACGCCAATGTGTTGTCGACCAAGTTCCATAAGAGTGTTATTAAGGTGAGACCATAGAGCAATTTGGTATTTCACAATCTAGATAAATCAAGCGCAGTTGCGCTTCATAATTAAGCCTAGATTGCGCCGCTTAAGTAAATGGTAATTGTTAGTAACTACTAACAATTTCAATATGAAACAGATCAAACTACATATAATTATGTAACAATCCACTGGCTATTATGACTTACTCTTTTCTGTTGAGTAAGATATTTTACAACGAACATTTATAAGAAGTTTGAAGATAAATTTCCTTTTACTGTTTTTGGTGACGCGATTCAGTATACTGTGTGTATAGATTACGGAGAATCATACCATTGTAACTCCATAGATAGTATTTCTTGTTGACGAGGGCATTAAAATACATATGGGATGTAAAGGTGATAGCTGTAAAACAACTCAGTCACACTCTAAATATATTTTTCATTCTGATTTTATGAATTACTTTAAAAATTTATAATCTTTAAATGGCGTCGCTGTGTATTCAATAAAAACAAGGAATAATTTTACTACGTCTATATATTTCCTAAAAGTGAGCAAGATATTGAGAAGTGGCATACAAAAGAAGTTATTAAAATAAAATATTTATATAAATATTGGTCGACAAACTGCCAGCAACAATGTCTATAAAGTACAATGTAAAGTAAATGTAAAACAATGTAAAGTAATGTAAGTAGGCATACATGTAAATTTTCAACTATTCAAATATTTTTGGTTTGGATTCTATCGAGCAGTCTGCAGCTGCGATGACATACGAGGAAGCACAGATAGCGATCGACGAAGCGTCCCGCAATGACGAAATCGCGCGCTCGCTACGTACGCTTAATATGTTAGCCAAGAAGTTGAAAAAGAAGCGACTCGACAATGGTGCACTGCTACTCGCCTCGCCGGAGATACGTTTTCAGGTACTATTATCATGTTACATGTAATGGCTTCTTATATTTTACGGAATCGGTGGTTTAGTGGTTTGCACCGCCTTACTTCTCATGCTCGTGGGTTCGATTCCTCACAGTACAAACATTTTTATTATTGATTATTATTATTTGTCTGGGTGTTTCTTATGTATGTATTTACAAAAAAATGGGACTATGTAAAAGTACAAAATTGGTGAGAACCTGTTGGAATATATAGACATTATTAATAGTGATATTATAGAATATATTTTCCATACAATGCTAATTTCTAGTGGAATAAGATATTTTCTAACGGAAAGTGTCTGATGAATTTTCACTGGAAATTAACATTATTTATTGCTTCGGTTCCGAACAAACGTTCGTTCAGAACAAAGTTTATTAAATCGGTTGCTCGTCGTCAGAAACGGTTGTCAAAAGAAAAGAGCATTTTATAAATAATTGGTAAAATGACTATACCACACAGAGTTTATATATATGATACATTTTAAATATATGATCAGGTGGACTCCGAGACACACGAGCCGCTAGAGGTGCAGGCGAAGAAGATAATGGATACGAACTCAATGGTGGAGGAGTTCATGTTGCTGGCCAACGTGAGCGTGGCGCAGCGGCTGGCGGAGGAGTTCCCGCAGTGCGCGCTGCTGCGGCGACACCCCGCGCCGCCGCCCGCTAACTTCCAGCAGTTCCTGGTCGCCGCCAGACACCAGGTACCGCCTCCTTGGAACGTGAGCGCAGTGCGCGCTGCTGCGGCGACACCCCGCGCCGCCCGCTAACTTCCAGCAGTTCCTGGTCGCCGCCAGCCGCCTCCTGGCGCAGGCGACACCCCGCGCCGCCGCCCGCTAACTTCCAGCAGTTCCTGGTCGCCGCCAGACACCAGGTACCGCCTCCTTGGAACGTGAGCGTGGCGCAGCGGCTGGCGGAGGAGTTTCCGCGATTGAAGAACGCGGGAATGCTCGCGAGCTGCCGACGCGCGCAATCTTTCTCGTTCTCTTTGTCTACATTTACATGCATATTCTCTCCCGCGTGAAAGAGTATACCGGTAAAGACAGCAATTGCCTTTATCCTTGCCCTGCTCTGCTAACCTCTGTGCTCTCATGCCTAAAAGCACAGAAGATGGAAATTTGAATAATTGTCTACTTTTCAATGGGGCAATATGAGCCTCGCACTCATACCACTCATGTAAGCCGACCACTCACTAAATGTGTACTACTGAAGAAGAGTTAAAGCCTATTATTAAAGTATTATCCAACTACTTCGCAAACTTTACAAGTTATAATTATTTTAAAATGAAGTAAAATTGAGTTTCCTTTCCTAGGGTTTCGAGATAGATGTATCGACAAACAAATCATTTTCGAAGTCACTGGACGAGGCGGTGATCCCAGATCGGCCTTATTTCAACATCCTACTCCGAATCATGGCGACGCGTTGTATGATGCAAGCGGTATACTTCTCCAGCGGCACCCACACTCAAGAAGAATATTATCACTACGGATTAGCTTGTCCGATCTACACGCACTTTACATCCCCGATTCGAAGGTAAATATTCTATTTTTAGTAACTTTCTACTGAGAGTTATATTTTGGACTGTTTATGAATTATTATACAATGTTACCATGTGTGCAGATACGCTGATGTACTGGTTCACCGACTATTGGCGGCGAGCGTGGGCGCTGACGTCACACACGCCGAGCTGCTCGACGTGCGACACGCGACCGCACTCTGCGACAACCTCAACTACCGCCATCGGCAGGCGCAGTACGCCGGCCGCGCCTCCGTCGCACTCAACACTCACGTAACTATATCTCTCTGTCTCTCTCCCTCCCGCCATTCTAACGCGCTCTGCGACAACCTCAACTACCGCCATCGGCAGGCGCAGTACGCCGGCCGCGCCTCCGTCGCACTCAACACTCACGTAACTATATCTCTCTGTCTCTCTCCCTCCCGCCATTCTAACGCGCTCTGCGACAACCTCAACTACCGCCATCGGCAGGCGCAGTACGCCGGCCGCGCCTCCGTCACACTCAACACTCACGTAACTATATCTCTCTGTCTCTCTCCCTCCCGCCATTCTAACGCGCTCTGCGACAACCTCAACTACCGCCACCGGCAGGTTTAGTGTGGAGGTTGTGTATTGTCATCAAGGTACTTTGACCTATTATTGGAAATTTTGCACCCTAACTAAATTATCCATTTATAAAAAAAACAATTCTAAGTAGCTTCAAATAAATACCATAGTAATTGTAGTAAGATCCTGTCCTTTGAAGAGTACATTGATACTAGGTATCAATTAAATGATAAGGTGTCATTAAGTTTCACTTACATATCAGTGAAATTACCCTATACGATATTTAAATCTTCAAGATAAGATATTGTTTAAAACCTGTAATTTCTTAAATTTTACAAGGAACATTTTCAATTTTAAATAGTTACAATTATTATTTTCTCTTTTTGTAGATTCTCTTCAAACACAGAGTGGAAATAGAATCGGCCGTCGTGTTGTCTGTTAAACGAAATGCATTGCAAGTCCTTATACCGAAGTACGGATTGGAAGGCCCACTATATCTGCCATCTGACATGTTTACTTATAATGAAGAGGTTAGTAATTTACTAGTTAGTAAGTTAGATATACGCAGTATAACAATAACTTGAGCAAAACCATAGATAAATAATTATGTACTTTTAATAGTATAAAAAAATGGTGGTGCTTGGTATTTAAAGTTATTTACAGCCATATCCAGTTAGTTTAACATGGTCGTATCGTGTGGTGAAGGTGATATTTTAAAATAGATACGTGCAATTATTTACTATGTTATTATCTGACATACAAATTCTGACCTTTCTAGGGTTAATGCATTTCATTGTATTGACCTATCTTCTTGACATTGTAAAGCATAGCAACAGCGTAAGTGTACAACACTTTAATCTTGAATAATTATCATTAAAAACATGGCTAAATATTGTAGTTGCGCGATCGTATCATTGTCGCATTCGTATTCGGTATATTATTCTTTTTTCTTTTGTATTAAAAAAAAATAACACACAAGTTTCTTGCTCATTCTTCTTGTGACGAATCTGCGTTCCGAATGAGTAAACAAAAAGTTAAAAAATATGACGATTCAAAAGTGCTTGTATTGAGTTTATTGATTATTTCTATTTCTTTGTTTACCATGCGGTAAATAATATGGCATAATAAGCACACATGGATATGTAGATATATATTTTGTAATTAATCAATATATTTATAATAGTAAAACCAGGCCTATATTTATATATGTTGAAACAATATATGAAGCAAACTAAGCAAGCGACACTGCCCATAAATAGCAACAGAATAATAGAATAGAATAGAAAATCATATATTCAAATAAACTTAATTTAAGCACTTTTGAATAGTCAACATTTTTTTAAATCTACCGCTTATTCGGAAAGCTGTCTCATCACAAGAAGAATAAGCAAGAAACTTGTGTGTTGCTCTTTTAAACAATCCTTGTAAGTTCACATTTTACAAGTCGAAACGTGTGAATACAAACTACCAACCAGCACTAATTTATTTAGGCTCAAATATAAATAAATATAAAAACACAATAAAAACACAATAAGATTAAATCAGTCGTAGTGATAAGAGCAGACCAGTCCCTACAAGCAGCACTCGTTCACGAGTATGACGGATGAGCCAGCCATCACTGCGCTCGACCATATTTTAGGGAGCCCAATGACCCGGCCCACCATGCCGCCACATGTCTGAACATTTTAGTGAGCATGACTACTCATTCCACTCGACCACGTCACAGCTACAAAAATTACTATATGGTAGTTACAGTATTCGCACTTTACATGAGGATGCATGCGGCAATCAATACAAAAGCCGCTACGCTATCATATATCAAGAAAGCAGTATGAAAAATAAATTATAACGTTGTCCGCAAATAAACTTATACTTGCTATATATTGCTATCATCTATAAATTCATCTATCCTATAATAGGCTTTTTTACATAACATTTGTTTAATATAAAGTTTGAATTGTTTGTTGTCTCTGTCAGATTTAACGTAGATTCTGGCAGTTTATTATAGAATCTTACGCAATTACCATAAAATGAATTACTAACTTTGTGTAGACGGCATTTAGGTAAAATTAACTTATTTTTATTGCGTAAGTTTCTAATTATGTGTGAAATTCGACAATAGTGTGAAATTCGACATCACTACATATAAAGGCAACACAAATCAAGATGTTATGTTAGGAAAAGAAAAAGACTATTGGTACAAATAATTAATTCATTTGATATATTATTTATCTTCAAAGTCTTTGATTAGTAAATTCGGTGCGGACGATCTTAAAAAAAATATTTTCTTTCTAGACACACGTGCAAAAATGCGGCGATGTCACACTGAAAACGTTCGACGAACTGACAGTGCGACTCAGTCTCGACAGTACTAATTTGCAGCATCGGAAACTTGTATTCCAACTTGTTGTACCGTTTGTTCCCGGCTTTAGTTACGTACAAGAGGAACAACAGAAGGAAATAGAACAGAATGAAGAGAAGATGGAAGTTGATAGTGCAGAAAATCTAAAGAAGCGAAAAGTAATGACACCGACCAAAATTAAAAGGAAAAGTATGAAAAAGTAGTACATAGATGTATGATTAAACTCTGATTTATATTTGAGTGATTTTTATTTATCTAGTCCATAATATCACTTAGAAACAGGCTCATCAAATAAAAAGTAATTAATATAAAATTCTTGTCACCTACCTACTTTGACGCGTCATGCGATTTATAGTACTTTTTAGTGGTTTAAGTACAATCTATAGATGATTATGGTGCGATTATGTTATAGGTACGTCTTTAGTTTAAGATGAAACCTTTTATAATTTTTTTATTAATAAAAAAATTACACGTACCCCGATAAGTAGGGTAATATAGTCCACCAGCAAGTACCTAAGTGAAAAAGGTGTGACAGACATAATTCCAAAGTCAAACAGATATATTGTAGGTTGGGTAAAGGAATAATGAGCAGAATTGAATAAAAAAGCAAATAAAAACAATTTATTGAATGTATACATTTGTCAACTTGCCTAAAAATATTAGAAGTATAAATAACAGTCGTTCATACTCAGTAGGATTATGTTCTGCACACATTACGTGTTGATAACAAATACTCATAATTAAACAGAGACAAGAATAATATTTTTTACTCAATAGCAACGAGAAATATTCGTAGACATGCATTAACGAAAGGACGGCAAATCACTTTCTAAATTATAACTAGACGACTCGATTTATCTTATATTTACCTACTCATCTAATAACATACAATAACAATTAATTTATATCTTTGGCTTCATCTATATGAGTCAAGATAAATTATATCACTAATGTATCGTAATCGTGATACAGGAATTCGGTCATAAAATTTTTAATTACATTAAAATACAGATATTATTTGAGCTTCTATCTGAATTGTAAACAATGGAAGTTCCACTATATTTATCATAATAAAATATAGCATTGAAAACACACTCCACAATGTGGGTTACCTCTATATTACACTTGTAATTCTAAACCTACACTGAGCATTACTTTTAATGATGAGTTATTCGCCGTCTTATAGGCGGAGGACTGACTACAGGCGTTCTAGGGGGCATCAGGTTACTCGACGACTGCGTCTCTTCTGGTGGTTGATGGGTCGAGACCTCGTCACCAGCAGCGCCTTCTCTTGGCGTAATTATTCGTGGTATATTCTGTACTTGAGCCTGGGCGGCAATTCTGGCGATTTCCTGGTCAACTTTGGTAATTAGTTGCTCGATTGCGAGGGGCCAGCGAGTTGCCGGCACGCTGTGTGCTGGCGACAGTCGCGCGTCCGTCATTACTGCAAGTCGTACCGTGCCCGCGTATTCTATCACTGTAAGCGACATGCCTGAAACCAAGAATTTCACTATATTCTGTTTTTAAAGTCTCTCTCTTACCAAAAGACGATTTGTGTAAATCACGTGAATCAAATTATCTTTATTCGTGTTGGTCTATTACAGACTTTTATGTGTCAATGTACGATCTGTTCAGAGTGCTTTCGAGCTAAAAAGTATTTTTGTCAAAACGATGATCTAGTCAGTGGCCGTAACCCGAACAGACCAATCATAATAAGCGCCCGTTCACTAGTATGACGGATAATAATTTTCATATTTAACCCAAAGGACTGGACCAAAGGAAAATCCTGGACACAGATTTATAAATTTGAACCCTTAGTGGCTGTATTGTAACAGTGTTGCTGTATATTGTGCTTTTGTTGTCTAATAATATTTGAAGGAGGAACGACTAGATATTTAAACATTTCTTTTAAACGTTTAAATTCGAAAAATACTTAACCGATTTTTAGAATTCTTACACAAATAGACTTAAACTACATTATCAGCGAATAACATAAGCTGATTTTAGTTATTTCTTTCGGGTATCGTCACTGCATACAGCTAGTATTAAATAATATGCACACTAACTGATATTCGCTTGCGGCGGTCGCCAGTAGAGCACGTAGTCGAGCGTGTCGCCCCACAGCGCGACGCGGCGGGCGGCGTGCGGCGGCGCGTGCAGTTGCGCGTACGACACCGCGTATCGACGTGACAACACGTTGAGCGCGACCTTATACCAAAACGATTAAAGAGGTTTTATTTACAAATTTATTATGACATTGGATGCAGAATTCTAATAGTATTTCTGGTAATCCCTATAACAAACAATGTCATTAATGTAGGAACAGATCAACCGCTTGCCATTTGTAAATATGTCAACTGTATGGATAGTACGTTCCTTGCAGTTAGTTAAGACACACGCAATTCAGTCGATCGAGGAGTGTGTAAAGCAAGTTGTGTATATAGCGTAGTAATCTGACTGCATCCATATAGATCATTCTTTATTGATTCCCTCTATTAAAAGGCGTGAATACAATTTCTTAGATTACTTTTTTTTAGATTATTTTTTTCTTTGTACCTAAATGTTCCCATTTAGGTACAAAGAAAAAAAATAATCTTTAGAAATGATAATACAAAGACAGATATCTCAGACAAAGACAGATACCTGTACATATATGATCAAGGTCGCCGTGATGTTGTTCATGTACCAAGATGTACCAAGATTTCCTATTCCATCAGGATTCAGGAGGTTAACCAAATTAACAAGCGTGCTGTTGGCCCATTAGGCCTATTGATAATTTGGTTATTTCTATATTTGGTATTTCTATATTGCGCAAGGGATGCACTAATTGAGAGATTCCTAGGAGATACCAATGCGCGGTTATAGGAAGGTTAAGTAAAAAGCAGACCTTGGCGAGTGGCGTGGGTAGGGAGCGCGAGAGGACGCCGCATCGCGCTTGCGCAGCCCACGCTGCGGCGAGCGCGCGCTGCCGGTCTCCCGCGCGCCGTAACGCCGCCGCCGTGCGTCGCGGGCTCGCGCCCACCGGCAGCGCCACGCACACCATACCTGCACAGGTTTTACCATCTAAATATCTTATCTTAATACAAGCCTCTCTCTAATCTCTTGTATTATTACGTATTTAGATACATTTAAAAGTGATAAGACGGTATGATCAGCACACTGTCGAACTTTTGAAATATTTTTTTACTCTACGGCTGACAGAACGAGCGCTGGCATTTCACCAGATGAGTAATGCCAACGCTCGCTCTTTTTAGTTTGGTAGTTTCTTTTCTCTAACTAAGGATTTTTTATATAACAATAATTTAATTAGGACACAAACAATTGTTTCCTCCAATTAAATGTCACTGCTAGATATTCAAATATAACATGATATGGAACAATCAGATGGCACTTGCCTCCTGTAACAGACTTCTTATAGTTTTTTCCTTGTCCCTCGGCAAAAGCGAACAAGAAGTCTTCGGAGGCAGCTCGGGCAGTTGTGAGGATGACATCGGGTGGATCGCTTTGTGCTTGTTCGAAGAAGGCTCGCAGTGCATCCGTGGTTGCATATAGCGCCACATCGGTTGGCGACACACCTAGGGCACGTGCCGCCCGTTCTATTCCTGTACGCGAAACAGGACGGGACCATGCCGCTACCTGAAATGCGTTAACTGCTAATAAAGAAATGGACTAGTTGGTATATTCTGATAATAATAACCCAAGAGCACAAAGAATTCTCAGAGCGTCGATAACAAAAAAAAATTGTACAAAAGGTAGCTAAACTACTTTCGGAAATACTTAGTCGCATTTTTTTGGATATCATATCTCTCCTCATTAGGGTGGATTTAACTCGGTATACCTAGTATTATTTTGAGTATTTACCGGTGCAAGAGAGGGACTTGCACCGGTAAATTTGCGCTTTGTATTCGCACTTAATACTATGAAGAACAACAAGAGGCAATCACACACATACGGATCCCCTGATGAGAAGTGGCGTTCATAGTTCACAAATGAAATGAGAAATTTTAAGTCAGTACACAGTGCTCAGTTTTTCTGAACCACATTTGTCCTGTATGCACTTTCATGACAGATTAAATATCAGAGTAATCTACGCTGTCTCTAGTGTAACAATGATAGCTAGTTGTAGCGCTGTTTATATAACTATTCGTTTTACATGTTACATATTGCGAGGGTGGAGAGTGGAGACGAAACCTGCTTTTCATCCTTTTTATTTTTATATTTGACATAAATACTAGAGAAATGTAATGGATGTCAGTGGTTTGCGTTTTAAAGACATAAAAAGATACATACTTTCCGGCCACACAAGGATATAGTCTGAAGCATGTGCCTGCGCCCGTCGTCAGCACCAACAGTTTCCTCCCACAGATTGGCAGGCGCTCTGTACGTTTCAATCAGCCCCCTCCAAGCTTCGTGTGTTGCTCGTACGCACAACTGTGCCAATTCCCCATACTTCCAAGTTAATGTGTGCGCCTGACTCACTTGACCGGTACTTCTCAATTCATTTAATGCTACCAATTCATCTTTTATACGCACAGGTAATCTAATAACTTTTCCCGTGGTACTTAACGCGGTATTAAATATTCGATTTAGCCACTTTCGAGGATCTGCCGTTACTAGCGGTGAAATAATAACCTGAAAAAAATTGTTAGTATACTAGATATTATGCAGCACTTAAATAATCATACACGGGGGGAGGGTGTTTTAGTAATAGGAACTAGTAGCCACATTGAAAGCAATATACCATGTCAGATAGATTTTCCTGTAAAATATCGTGGCTAACTGACCTGACTTCATGCACATTTATCGTCCACCGAAGGTGATGATGATGGTGCCCTGTCACCGTATAGCATTTGAACAGGCGAGTTCGCCATTACCTAATCACCCATATAGGGGGAAAGGGATCGTTAGTAATGTGAAATAATTACCATCCCTAGCATGTACCAGTCAGGTCGACCTTCACGTGGTTTGACTGGAAACCATCGTCCTAAATTCCTGGTGAATTTGTTAAGATGAGTCAACTGACCTAACCTCATGCCCTTCCTATCATCATCCACTTGGGCCTCGCCAGCGTAAACCGTAAGCGCACCATGGAAGCACCATTTCATAATCATCTATACATAAAAAACAATCATACTTAGAACATGTCGAATTTCTTAGAAGACAATTTTGAAGAACAAAGACAAAACTATTAGGTGTGATTATCGTAATCATGCTCAACGTTGCATAATTATCCAGTTCGTTGGTTGAAACGAAATGTGTGCAACTTGTGAGTACTTTACATAAACAATTTATAGATAAGTAATTACGATATGATTATTACATATATATATTCATATTACTTAATTAATCCGTGACCTACTTGCCTTGGGTACGGTTAAATTTCTCCTTATACATTCCTGTCGAATGGTGGCTAATAGAGTCGTCGCAGTAAACGGAGGTCGTGAATCATTCAATCTCTTTTTACGCATTTCTCTTAACGCACTAACACTAGATATGAGAACCAGGCCAGCTACGTGAAATGCTCCTGGCAATGTTTTTAGTGCCCGAGGACTCTCTACGGGATCATATTCAGAGACGAATTCATTCCATGTGTTTGATAAATTCTCGTTCAGTTTTCCCCATAGCGCTGGAATAGCTGACGGATTAGGTAACAGATTGGTCAAAGGACTTTGCTGGATGAATTCCGTGGCTGTTATTCGATCATCAGGCTGCAATTGCTCAACCAGCAATAAATCACCAATATTAATAGAATTTTTCCCAGACAACAGCAGGTGATGGACCCGAACCAATATGTAGTACTTTGGTTCTGGAGATACACACGGTATAATTATGTACTGCCACGGTGGTTGCTCGTTTGGAAAGTATTTTGATACTGTCTCGCTGACAAACTCCTGGAAATGAAGGCAATGATTTTTGTTATTTCAATATTCTGAAACTAGCTATGTACATATTTATCTCCGATTAAAACTATATCGTGTTCGTATATACGAATTTTACGATGTTATATTGTAAATTAACGTGTGGCAACACTCGTGTTTCCCATGAAAATAAAAAAGATGGAGCTTTCGGTACTTCTATGAGTACGACATTGAATTTCTCAATTTTCATCCAAATCTGTTCAGTAACTAATCCATGAAAATATCCAAAGAAACAACATGCGAACTATTGTCCTATATAATATATGTGCACAATAATTAAGACCATCAACTGAATCTATTTACCTATTTTACAAAGATATTCTATCCATACCTGTATATTGTTATCAGAGACAGGGCGTCCACGGTAGACTGCGTTTGCGACAATACAGTGGTTTTCAGGGCGGAATACTACATTAACGTCCCACGCATAGTTGCCCCAGCACGACACCAAGAGGTGGCGTAGACGAGGGAACATTAGCTGTCCATTGGTGTCACGTCTATCTAGTACATGCTCAATGAGATGCTGCTTTATTATTTCCGGATTTGGTACACCTGTAGATAAATACTTGGACTTAACATTATGCAAAGCGGTTGCTGACAATTTTCATTTGCTAGAGTTTATTAATTTATGGTTTATGGATTATGTATGGACTATTTGGCTTATAACAATAACTGTCAATTAATTCATACAATATCACAAACATATTGAACTTATTCTGTTACAATTGTGAATTCTTAGCAGTTATGTTACAAGAGCTCTTTTTTACAAACAATTGAATAATATAATAAACAACTCTTTCTACAGGTAATTACGGAACTATTTCTTTAATAAATGGTTTTGTAATTTGGATTAATGAGACCTTAGTAATAATAAGGGCCTTATGCTGTTATCATGCTGCAGGCGATTGCGAAAGGGGGTGTGTGTGTGTTTCCAGGGATGATAATGGAATGGTGCACTGGCCTGTGCTAACGGTATACGCTGGCAGGGCACCAGTGTAGAATGATAATGAGGTCATGACCTAACTTGGTCATCGTGGCCAATTTACCCGAAATTGTCTACAATGGTTTCCAGGGGGCACTGCGTGGAGTTCTACTTGATATTGCTAGAAATGGGACTACTGTACTCATTACTAGCAATTCCTTATCAAAGCGGTGTGTAACATATTATATTAACAGATGCGAAATAAAATTTACCTTTGAAAGCAAGAAGTACATTGATAATGCCTTGATTACGATGGGTGTCCAGCAATGAGCGCACCGTGTCGTACTGGATAAACTCCAAGTTTGGGTACCGGCTTGATAGCACTCGAAGCCATAACTGCTTACTAATTCTCACCACTGTGTAATAATAGAGCAAGTAAATACTTAATATTATTCAATGTTAATATTTAGAATAATATAAATAAACTTATTAAAGAACTTTTGAATAGTCAATTTTCTATTTTTTCACCACATATAGAATAAAATACCTGTTTTAATTTACGATTGTACTGAGGTGAGAAAAGATTTTTTATCAACTGACTGTCCGCAATAAGTATTAATTGCTACATACGCCTTTTAATCAGAAAGTTCTTCCCTTTAGCGGCATAGTTTTATAAAGCCAAATTAAAGTATCTGTACTCATGTAGGTAGGTCTACACACATATTAGTCAAATCTACCGTTACTTCTGAACACAGTTTTAAGCTAAAAAACTGCGAAGAAATTCATCACTTTTTTGAAATTAGATATTGCAAGAATACAGATTATTAAAATAAATTTAAGATAATGTAGTCACCACTAGTATAAGCTCTTACAAAAATTTCAAAAATAATCAAACAGTCTCTATAACAGAAACAAATCGGTCCCTACAGGCAGCACCCGTTCTCGAGTACGACGTATGAGCCAGCCATCATTGCAACTCTAATCTTTCATGATGGTACCGACCTTAATTTTATAAATAAAAAAAAATACTCACCCACGTACGATATAGCCAGTGCCGGTAAAGCCGAAAGTGCAATACAAAAAGCACAGTATGTATAAACTTCTACAGCGAACCGCGACCGCGCGCCCCGCGTCGCCATGTTGATCACTTCGCACTCTGTTTGCACATGTGCACTGTCTGGTTGTTACAAAATTATATATTAATATACATTTCCGACCCCATTACCATTATTAATCAATAATTCTATTGTTTGAAGTATAATTATTACAATAGTAGTTTATGCCCTTTTTTTTATTAATTGACACTTTTATTGCGGCTACAACTTGTTTTGAACTCTTAATTGTATTTCTTTTGATGGATGATTACGATATTTTGCAGCCGCCTGTGCTATAAACCGTTAGCTGGCGGAGCATTAGAGGAGGATGATAAAATACACATGAACTTGGTCAATTAGCCCATCGTGATATCCAGTGGAACCACGTGGAGGTCAACCTGAAATGATACATTGCTAGAAATGAGGTCATCAGTCCACATTACTAACAATCCTTCTTCCCCCGGACTCAAAATATTATTATGAGTATCATAGGTCAGGATTACAGGGGCTTACATTTATTAACAAACGCTGTTAGTAACATATTACAATCCATGGGCTTTCTGTTTTCTATAAACTATTTGAGAGTTGCAGCTAATTTGTACGGTTAGCAATTGCAACTGTGAAATGGTCCGTACATAATAGCAAAACTGCAGATTTTTAGGGCTTTTATTAGTAACAACGTTACATAATTCAGCTACTGGCACACTGAACAATGCAGTGGTATGTTATGAATTGCAGAAAACTGTTATAATAGCAATCAATATAGTATTCAGTGAATAAATTCACTGACCTAAATCTATTTACCTTATGCAACAATCTGAAAACTAAACTTATTGCATAGTTAATTGCACTAATCAATCAAGTGTCAAGTAAATAGCAAGTATCTTTTGTTACCGATGTTCAAAATGGAGTATGTGAGATACGTAATAGAGCTACAAAATGATGCTCAAAAAGGAATAAAATGAAATGGATAACCTTCCATCGTAACAGACAATAATCTTTAAGTCACCTAAGACATTGTAAATTTAATAACCTACAGAATGACTCACAGTGATGCATTCTTTTTATCTTCCAACGAACTTAGGTCTGAGTCTTATCAACTTGTCAGTTCAAAAGTAAATAAACAGTTATTGAACTATAATAATTATAGGTAATATTTTTATGCAATCGGGGAGAAATTATCTTAAAATGTACTCGTGAAACAGTGACTCATGTTGGCTGACATCTGTCATGAGTAGATAATATCTAAGATATAGCTTGATTCCAACACAAATGTTAATTTATTAGTGTTCAATTTTAAAATTGAATTGATTGAACTACCATTTGTATTTATTTTCAATGTTTATTATGTACGTATTTAAATTTTGTAAATACGTACATAAGTTGCAATGGGGTGCCCATATTACTAAATTAGCGAGAAGTTCTGAAACAGACGTGGCAACGGCTAGCAGCTATTTCCATAGCATTATGTCGTATGGTATTTTGTTATGGGGCAAAGCAGCTGATATAAATACAATATTTATTTTACAAAAGAGGGCGATTTATAGCATGGGTTCCAGGGAGTCTTTGCGAGAGTGCTTTAAGGAATCATATCCTCACCGTTGCTTCTCAATATATTTATGAAAACATCATGTATGCAAAGAATATAGACATTTGTACAATTGTTTGTGTGTTTTCGTTTTATGGCAATTGCGTAAGGTTTTACAATAAAATACCACAAAATTGTTTGTCAAATAAAACACTTCCTTTGCAAAAAAAGCTTACTATAAAATTGAAGAATTCGTTAACGATAATAATGTTTTTGTAGAAAAATTTTAAATACATAGACTGACAATATTATCATTACACTAATAATGAGTTTATTATGTACGTATTTAAATTTATCAAAAAGAGTATTCTTCTTGTGATGAATATTCGTACATACTATTCATAATATATTTGAATAAAGATTATTTCTATTTCTATTTCTAATAATATACATAGAAAATACCCTGTATATATTTATATCAGTTATCTAGTACCTATAACACAAGCTCTGCTTAACTTTGCATGCATTGTCTGAATCGTCCTGAGATATTATGATTCATAACTATATACTATTTTCGTTAGCATAGAGGACGAATTTTGTGGCACATTACGATACAGTGTAGGTATGTGACGAAATCGTGTAACTACATATATGTTATTGTATATAAAAAAACTTTAAGAAAGAATTTCTCGAAACGATAGTGAAATCGTATTAAAATTGGTTGTGTGGTATAGAGGAAATAAACGGAGAAACAGAAAAACAAACAGTTACTTTGATCTATGTTATTATTAGACATAAAAGTATTGTCGAAGGCTTTTAAAAATATTCTAACATTTTTTAACGAATGTACGACCAGCTTAGTATGATCTCTCTCAGCACCGATGCTACTATGAATCAAAAGTACATCGGAGGTCAGTTTCGTTGGTATCAAGTTCACATTATGATAAATGTGGACACCAGCGCAACCTATCGCTACATTCACTTTCCCTGTCCAACAACAGTGAAAGGTTTCTTATATATCCAATTTCATATATGTACCTACTTAACTTGTGTAGTCTTTGTTTTGTAATATTTGTTATATCATCCAATTGGTTATTCATTTATTATTATTATATTTTATATTTAAGTAATGATCCGTTAAATTAAATAAATAATAGGTACAATAAGAAAAGACTACTGGCCCAGTATTCATAATTCGACCATAGTTAATTTAAATTATAAATTTGAACATTATTAAGGTTCTATAGTTAAAAACTGGAGTGTCATATTTACTCTGTAAGTGTGAGTGTCAAATACATGGCAGTATGTGTAATGTTTTTTATTGATTAAATGTATTTTAGGCATGATTTAAAAAATATTAGCATTCTGCACTCTGTTTGCGCAATTTTTGTAATAAGGGGCACAAAGTTTTTATATAAAGACTTTTGTAGCCAGATACGAACTCATGACTTTAAGGGTCAAATTCGTGTAGTAACCACTAGACGTTCTCCAATATCTATAAGATATAATATATCTCAAAAACAGTGCAACTAGTATTGAATCTGTTGCGTTCTCTAGTAGAAGGTTGTAAGCATAAAAACAGACAGACGCTAAAAGCGACTTTATTTCATGCTGTTTAGAGATACTATTTCCGTTATTAGTAAAGTGCTGTATTTGCTTGGTCAGTCTAGGAAACATACTATTTGATATTATTTCAGTTCTAGGATATCTAATCCTAGAACTAAAATATAACCTATCTAATAAGAGAAGAAACTTGAAAATTAGTCAATTATACTCCGTTTGTTGAAACATGTTGCGGTTAACGGTTAATAGGTGGTGACATTTTACAATTTTACGTACTGTAAAAACTGTATTTAGTTAGATTTGACTATCTAATCGAAAGAATGAGTAATATTGTAAATAGAAAAAGTGTGTGTTTGTTTCTGTCCCATTTTTAACTTTTCACTATCACGGCCGAATAGATCTTTGATGTGAAGATTTTTTTTTTCGGACTACTCTAATGCTATTGGCCGCAGCTGTCTTTTACAGCTTCACCGGACGTTAGGGGGCAAGTGCAGATAGCACTCCAAACCCGCAGAAGGACTTATGGAGCGGCTGAAAGCCAACTCCTGCCTGACGGATACGACTTTAGTCTGAGGGCACCATTAGGGGTTCGAACCTCGGCTCAGGCCGTCGTAATTTCGATCCCCGTTTGAATTGTACGGTCGGAGGGGTGATGTGAAGATAGATAGACGGACAGATATGGACTGTCTTTTATCTTAAAAAAGTGAATGAGGTCGCGGATACGTCTATTATTGGTTAAGAAAAAATATTTTTACCCCTGGACAATTAACTCAGCTTCATCTAGTTGCACGGTAAGCAGGGCTTGTATTATGAATATTAGACAACTGATATAAATACTCAGAATTCTTTTTGTAAATACATACATTATATACATAGAAAATACCCAGACCGGTAGAAACAATCATAATCATGTATACAAATGTTTGCACCGTGCGTGGAATCGAACTCGCGATTATCGGAAATAAAGCGGTATGCTAAACCGCTAGACCATCGAGGCCGTCAATTTTGTTGGATATTACACTTATCATGGTATATATGCATATACTTAATATAATTGCGTAGTATTTAGTTATTGAAGCAGGTAAGTAAACAAATATATTTGCCTTTGTTCTCCAAAACAATTAAATTCGCCGTGTATTTAAATTTATGTCATTGAAATATATGACATATGACACAGGTTGGTTTCCACGCGTTGTCTCTGGAGATTATTGTGAAGAATTCCAGGTGAATTTGGCACATTGAGCTAACTGACCTGACCTCATGCTCACCATATCGTCCTGCACTTGTGGCACGCCAGCATAAACAGTTACGGCATCGCCTTTTGCATGTCAGAAATGTGTGAAACAAAAACTAAAGATTTAAAAAACTACATACATGTACCACATTTTAGGCAATAAATATATCATCATCTGCTTCTTCCTTATCCCATTTATTTGGAGTCGGCTTAATATGTTTTTCTCTTCCATTCATCTCTGTTCGCAGTCATCCCGTTATTTACTCCCTTTCTCACCATATCATCTTTCACACAGTCCATCCATCTCTTTTTCGGTCTTCCTCTACCCTTATAACCATCCACATTCATATGTAACACCGTCCTTAGGATATGATCTTCATTCCTACGCATTATATGCCCATACCACGATAGGCGATTACTCTTTAACCTCTCCGACATCGGTGCCACTTTCATAATTTAGGTAATAAATATAATTGAATTTAATTTCATACCGGTTCTCTAAGTACTATACTTACACCTGTATATATCTATCCTGTCATTTCAGATGTATAATATATATAATTATGTATCTATGAAAAAAATTAATGTATATACATAACTTAATTATACAACAAAAACCTAAAATTAAAAACCCTAAAAAATATAATACAGGTAATGACTAAACTTATTTATTATTTTAATTACCATTAGGTAATCAAAATAATAAATTAATGTTACGATTGATCATAATATTTATCTTGATATGCGTGATCTGTATGTCTTTAGGTTACCTCTTACAATAACAGTACAAAGTACTACTTAGATGCATTTCTGATGTCATAACGGCACGTACTTAGACAGGAAGTGCAAATAAATATTTACCTATTACAATAAAAAAAAAAACATAATACTGGGCCATGCCGTAATCATATATATATATTTCATAATAACAACTTCTACATTTTAGTTTTAAGTGTGTTTGACTGCGTTTGTATAGGCTGAACCGGTTTAAATAAAATCTTATTTCAATCAGTTATCAAAGTTTCTAATAAGCGCTATAGTGTTTTCATTAAATGTTTGTTTACAACGAAAAAAATTATCAACTAAGTATAGTTATTCTGAAAGAACCACAGTAACAAGCCGCGTCTAATAAATAATTACCTTCTTAATTATAAAATTATGACCCTTTGCATTATTTATTTAAAAATATTTCTATTAAATTCCAAATATAAATATATTTTCCAAATATACCTATATTTGATAGATTTGTTTGTTACTTAAATAGGTAATGCAGTATTCTAACGAAGACGCAATGTTCTAGTCTAATTCACATCGAATTGAAGTACAATATATACTAGACGTAAATATTCAATGTTTGTAGTATTTACTACTAGTAAAATACATGATAGGCTTTATATTCATATAATTGGAATCCCAGTAAGCTTTCGGTTAAGCTTCCTCCCGACTGTTGGTTGATTTACGGATTCAAATAATAATAAAAAAATATATAGAGTATCAAAGCTATGTATTTAATATAAAATAAATGTTATTCTTGTAAATAGCTGAAATAAAAAAAAACGAAACAAATAAGTCCTTCAAATAAAGGCGTCGGGATTCGGCGATAAAACATAGTTTCGGTTGAACAGTGGAAGGCAATTTTCGAAATATTTCTAGGTACAGTACCTATCACAAAAACGGGCGGCGGTTCGTCTTGACTCGGTATATCTTTCGTGACCCTGTTGCACGCGATAGTCTTATCAATTAATAACTATCCGCTCTTACACTTCACATTAGACATTTAAATAATTATTTGATCTATTAGAAATTTATCATACAAACAAACGAACCTAATGTTGTATGCTTTTCACATTAAATAAATACCAAATGCGTTCCTTACTTATATACAAAATGCCGCCTATCGTTACTAATGCAAAATATTTATTCATTGTGATTAGAATGAGATAATTTAAAATAAAAATATTATTTACTATTACGTAGATACTGAAGTTTACGTCCGTACGCACTTACCGAACTGTCTGACCACTATAAAAAGTATATTAGTAAGTGACTATATGCAGCAATTAAAGAATCAATCTACCCACCTTAAAACTTGTTTCGCACACAACTAGTTTTCAACACACTTTCAAACTGTCGGGTGTTCGCTGCGTTTCTCGGCGGTGGCGGTCGCGTCTCCGCCGCGCGACGGTCCGGTGTGAATGCAGAACGGACGTCGAGTGAGCGGCTGGTTGGTAGAGCACAGAGCTGGCCAGTTCCGCGCTTATCGAAACCATTGTCCAAGGTTCAAGAGTAAATACCAACAATGTTCACGATATATATCTATGGCAAAGTTATGTACGTAACGTAAACAATAAACAATAAGTACTTCCAAATTATACATACGTCTAATGTAGTAGGTATATATCTAAATATATAAGGTAGGATTTTCTGTTATGTTAGACTCTAAATGCTTGTAAATAAATAATTAAGAATCTATTCGCAGTAAGAATTTTAATAACAATAATATTATTAAAGACAATTATTTAATGTTTAAAAAATGCCGCAAAATAATCTACCTACATCTGTATGGACAAGCAAATTCATTCTCGTGAAAAAACCGGGCGATTAAAAGTCGTGGTGCGTATATATCCTAAGAATTCAATAGTATATATGTAATTTCACATATCTTAGATGTTACAAATTAAGTAGGTATATTGAAACTATCATATAACTTCATCTTTGTATAATTAATCCATTCTATATCCTTATGAAGTGGTTGAATTTAGACCATATTTGATTGAATCTGCATACTTTTAATTTCAATCCAGCTGCAGGTAAAGAGGGATCGATTTTTTTTTCGGACTACTCTAGGCCGCAGCTGGCCTTTACAGCTTCACCGAACGATAGGTGGTGAACGTACTTTCGATCCCCGTTTAATTTACACGAGGGATCGATCAGTAGAGATTTTATTCAAGTGTCGCTCTCTTTATTTTGTCTGGACTGAAAATTGGTTTGTTTATTGTGAAATCGAATTTGTGTTAATAAAAGGGCTGATAGATATCTAAGTACTTTCTAAGAGGATTTTATTCTTGCGGATACGTAATATTACCTTAATATAATGGATTGAATATCCATTGCGAAGGTACACCATAGTTGTGTAATTTTTCATTTTTTTTAATCTACCTGCTAACTTCTAAGTTACAGCTGTTATTCTCTCCTTTTTTACTGTAACAAAACCACCTAATAGTTCAGATAGGTAATCTGTACTTACTTATATAGGTATATACATGAAAGATGAAGCGTAATATATAGGTAATATATCTGAAATTTTACACTGGTTATCCTTAGTCAATTTGACGATAGGCCGTTATCGGCCTATCGTCAAATTGATACTTATGTATCACCTTAATGTCCACTACCACTTGGAGAACAAGCGAGCAAAAAAAAAATCAAACTACGCCTGTTAATTATATTATAGCAAAAAACATACAAAATCTGTCAGGATCCGTTCATTTGGACATTATGTGCGACTTTTTTAAGTGAAAATAGCTACTTGTAGTTACTTAATAATTATAAAAATTATTCGAGACAATTCACACAGCATCATGTAGTCCTATGCTAGAGCAAAACTTATGTTATGGGTATTACAACAACTGGTAAAAATACTAAAAATAAAGGTTAGCTGGTAGAGAATGCTATATGGCATTAAGCTCGCCTCTTGTACACTCTTCATAGTGCAATAAAGAATAATAAAAAAATAGTAAAATACTCTCAGTACACGCAAAACTCTATGTACATACAAAGCACGGAGCAATAAAAAATAATCATACTCAGGGATACAAAATGTTTATATCGTGCTAGGATTTAAACCCGCGATCATCTGAACCAAAACACTGTGCTTTTAGATTCCCGTGCTTATTTATATACTAGGGTATTTAGTCCCTGTGAAACTGTAATGGCCAGGTGCAGCATTTGAATATTTAAAAAAGAATTATTTCTACTTTTAGTCATCGGGGATATTACTATTTCAATTTCTAATCCAGGTTACTTATACAAATAAAATATCAAATCAAAATTAAAATTATTTATTGAAACAACTTCAATATTTTAATTAAGTAATATAATTTTTACTGAACTAATCGGCTTAGACTTACATAACTAATGTAGGAAAGCGTAATGTAATGTAGTGAAAATAATACATAGGTAGTAAATACATAAGAATTCAAATATGTTGATAAAGTTACATTAAATATATAACTAGGTATCAATATAGGACACTTAATTAGGCTCTGCGGAAGAAAGAACAACTATGATTGATTAAATTTAAAATTACAGTTAACACACATTAGAAATTATGTAAATTTGAAATTTCATTACACGCCTTACGTAATACTTTTGTAGAAGCCTATATGATACCTACATATCTGTCATCAAATCATTTCCAAATGCAAATAATATATACAAAAATATTCAAGTTATAGGTCCCCGAGATAGTTAATGAGTTTGATTAAATCCTTACGTATTTGATGAAATCGGTTGGATATGTATGTCGTAGTTATGGGACTACTATAAAAATTTAAAAAAATTCTAGAAAATTAGAAACTTGTTTCAGTATTAATTTAAAGGTTTAACAGCGTCAATCGAACAAAAGACGTATCAAACTAAATTCTGACCATTTCCATGGATTTGATTCTAACCATTTCACCTTCTCGGGAGCACTTAATGATACGATATATAGTGGGTACTATATGTATGTGGGTTATATATACTTAAATGGTTAACAGGGAAGATATAGTGTAAAAATTAAATACAACTTCTTACAGCCACTCTTATCACATATTACAGCTTTAACTACTAGTTTGTCTACCATAGAAAATCTAAGACAACTTTACCGCCTGTATACAAATTTGTTAATTAAGTCTACAAAATTATTTATTGTTCAGGTGAATCCACTATCGGTACTATACAGGGAGGTCAAGGTATATTTTAAATAATTTATTAAAAAATGCAATAAGCAATTGATTACGAAACGAACAAGTAACATTTCATGTCAAACGACGAAATTAAGCAGCTAATAATACGTTAACTCGTAACATTAACCACTGGACTGGGTAGATTACACCGATTATAATTTGGCATCCGACAACTAAACGTAGCTTAAATAACCATTAGCCTCGTAATGAGTCGAAATTAAATGCGAACAAGCGTTGCACTAGCGTTCCGTTTTGTATTGTGACACCAGTCTGATGGCACAACACTACGAACAGTCACGCCGCTCAAACAAACCTTAGACACTCAACAAATAGTAAAAATATCGACTGCCTAAAGTTTGCTCTACAATCTAGCAATATCACAATCGCGACCCACGCCATCATCTGAATATATCAAATAATACCGATATTCACTCGAGAGAGTCATTAACGTAGTAGCCGCCGCACTATACAGCGCTAGCTTTGACGTGTTTGGTGGAAAACCTTTGGTCAAACGATCTCCGCGGGATGCCGCTCACTTTCTTCGGCGATTGGCAATTGATGGATGACGGTAGCGACTTATAGCCCCCGTCGGAACTGTAGTCCGTGTCCGTCGACTGGCCATTCAGGCTCGGACTGTGTCTGTTTCCATTCACGCTTTCTCTACTGCTGATCCTGCCGTTGTATAGATCGCCGTACGACGTGTGGTGCTTGATGGGCAAGTGTTCGTCTATAACGTGTGCGGTAAGGGCCTGCTCGGATGGATAGAGCTGGCAGGAGTTGGAGAAATTCTCGATGGAGCGTGATCTACCAGCATGAGCACGGGCGAGACTGAGGCTGGGAGCTGGACGATCTACAGATCCATCTCGTCTCGCGCGAGCTACGGCCTGCAGATACTGAGAGCCGACGCGACCTCCACGTAACTGGCCGCCCGTTTGCTCAGTTCCGTTTGACACTCCGTTCACCTTCCTCGCGCCACACTGGCATTGTTTTACGGTCCCATTGGTGACAGGCCTCTTAGTCTTTTGTGCTTCACTGTATGACGGCAGCTTCCTCGTGCTAGATTGCTCATTCCAACTGTGAAATAATGGTTTAATTAATGTATTAGGATTATCGAAGTACGTAGGTGTAATATTTAGGTGTTTGAAAGCTTTCGAGATACAGTTCTTGGTTCTACTTTTAGGTGAATTTACGGTAAATACATAAACGCTTACATGAATTTTCTGTAATAAATTATGAACTCTATATTTATAGTTACATACATTACTAAAATAATAAAATATAGAATAATATATATAGTGGCTGAGATACAGAATTAAGTGGTTTTAGAAACAGTTCGTGTACTGTAGTCACAACAGCAGTTTATTTATTATACACAATAATTAGGAACATTACATAAAACTGGCCTGGTGTTGGAAGTATAAGAATTGCTCCTAGAATACTTATTTTGATATTAATAATTAATAATAGTGGCAGAAATGTATGTTACAATGTATGTTTTGCGAATAGTTTAGTACCTCACCTTTAAGTTCTGATGTAGCAGCGTGTAACACAGAAACATGATTGAAAATCAAAGCAAAATATATTATGTAAAAGTTCATAGAAAAATTAACAAGTCACGCGATGACCTAATAACAAATCATAACACACGATAAATCTAGGATTCATAAACAATCTTAAGCCAATTAGGAACAACAGTTCAAACCTAGTGCCATTGGTTTTAACAGGTTAAAATTACAATCATGCCGTTATATCATGCCTAGCACCAATTTATAGACAAGACACTATCAAATAGAATAATTCAAAAGTTTTTATAGAAGTATTAATTAAATAATCCATTATATATAATATATTATAGGCACATCGAATAAATATTTTATATAAAATATATCCTTTTAGTGTCCAAAGCCAATCTTGGTTTGGACAATATAAATATGTTTATAAAGTATTCAAAATCGAATCGGTCACTTGTGATACTTGAAACAATATTCGTCAATGTCCCTATCGGACACAAGGAACACGCTGTCCGGAGGCTGATACAAGAGATGCAGTAAGCACAACACATTAACTGAACACAAGAGGCACAGAGCGAGCAAGCAGTCGAGCCACGCTACCTGATCCGACGGACGAACACGAGATCCACCCAAATGGAAACTGCCGCGTCCGTTATCCAATGTTTCGACAAATTGAATAATTCCGATCGTAATATTAAAGCAGCATGTGAGGAAAGTAGAACGAAATGAAATTTTTTGAGCAACATGAACAAATAATTTATATTTAACGAAATAAAATTATGAACACAAGAGTTACAAATAATGTTAACGTGTTATTTACAAATCTTAAAATAAATGCGTCAAATTATAATACCCATGAAATACGGGGACATTGTGAGTGTAACTTGGGACAAAGATGTCGGGACGAAAGTCATCTTTTTGTTCATATAGTCTCTGAAAATAACTACCCATTTTTGTTTGCTTATATCAGTAGCTAAACATTGACTTTTTGATATTATTGTGTCTTTTAAAATTGTCGAATATTCAGAGAACTGAGGGTAATAAATAGGTGCTAAGTATAAGTGAGTGAGGGATGTTTGCAGAGATTTAATAAATGATTTTAATGTGTGCAAGGAGACTGCGATAAACCTAAAACAATAGATAACGGCATAAATAATATTTAGATATGAATATAAAATTATAAATAAGTTTTAGTGAACATTTTTAAACATGATAATGGCCTAATATTATCAAAGTACAACTGTATAGGATAAGAATAATGATAACTATGGATAAATGGTGAAGAGATAGTGTGTTGGATATAAGCGGTACAGATGTCTTACCTCACTAATCCTGAATTTTCAGAGTTCGTTAATCCCGTGCTCATCGGCGGCCGCAACTGTAAATACGTAAATTATATATTAATTAAAATATTTTAATTAGAAAAAGGTTATTCCCTTATCAGCCATGAACTAGAATTACGCGTTTACTTTTAGAATAATACGGCATTTCATCATACCACTACTTGCAACAAAATTGTTATCTATGAACTGTGTGTTATTTTGAATGAGAAAATTAACGCAGTTCTAAAGCAGATATAATAATTTCCCCATTATGGCATTGCAAAAAAAAATATATAATTTTATTTGCATGGACATAATACGTCTATATAGTACTGGGTTTATTGTTATTTGCTGTATATATTCTATTTTGAATAAAATATAAGCCTTTGTCCTTCCTCTTTATATAATCTATCTTCGCGTAAAGTTTCATTAAGATCATTTCAACCGTCTAATGAAAAGGCAACAACCATACAGAAAGACAAACAGACAGAGAGCCAAGCACTCTTTATGTTTAATAATTTTTTGTGGATGAAGAAAATACCTCCAAAGAAAAGTACGAAGCAGTTCAATAGTTATAGACGTATGAGGTATTTATTAAAAATGATTATTTACCCGATCGGTCTGTGTAGCGACGTTGCAGGTGTCGTCGCCACGAGGCTCGTGATTCTCAGACATACGCAGCATCTGTTGCTGCAACACGCGCACCAGACGATCTCGTTCTTCTAGTTGACTCTGTGACACATGATTAGATATAGATTAATAAATAGTGCATTTATTGTTAGAGATCATACATAGTTACACTTAAATAAACACAAATTCAGATGTGACATGTAAATTCTACCATCCTATAATAGAACAACACTATTAGATGCATCTGCATGTTGTTTTATTTTCTGTTGAGTGCGAGTTCTATCATCGATATTATAAAGAATGCTGTATTATGAGTATATATTTGTTTGTATTTGTCCCAGTGTTCTCCAGTGTAAATTTTAAATGTATTTAAGTATGTTCAACAGTTGTACCAGCTTTGCACTAGTGCAGCTTGGGACTAGACTAATAAAGGCTTACTTTAGTATTTATTTAATTAATATTCAAGAAATTTTTATACCCCAAATAAAGTTAACTACAAGCAAATTCTTTGTTGTGACAATGTTCAGAGATAATTTCTATGCTGCAGACTAATATAATATTTACAAAGGGTCAGACAATAGTCGAGAATTAGATAAGAGTCACATAATGCATTTTGCTGAATTCTGAAGTGCTATAGCTTTTATTTTGTTAAACAGAAAATACATTTTTATAACAAGAAATCTCAGCTGTGGTTATATGGAAGCTAATCTGTGGTGTAGTATATGTGGAAAAGAGACGGAAGCATTATGTCGTCTCTCCCGCACACTGCTGATGTCATGTGGTATGTCAACAATACAGTCATGTTATATCGTAGATGACTCTGATTCTAGTACAGGATAACTTCGATGTAGCATGAGTGCTACATGGTAGTTATCCTATTATATATTCAATTCCGCATTTCTATTTGTTACCTGCAGGTATAATATCTGGCGGCGCATTTCTGCGCAGGCGTCGGGAGGCAAGGGGTCCGCGCCACGATTTGTGGCGTGGGAGGCGTTCGCGTTGGGGTGCTGCGGGAGGTACGAAGGGGGGCGGCGCCCGTTGACGCGCGCGGGACTCTCCGCGCACGCCGCTAGCAACGGGTCGAGAGTCTCACTCTGTAGAACAATAACCATAAAACTTTAGGCTAATTTGTTACTGGAATAACAAATAAGTAAATGGTCCACCTGATGCTCAAAGGCCATCGTCGCCAATATAGCAGTATACAGTAGGAGTGGGAGAGGATTGTTAATAAAGGCGATTTATGACTTCGTAGCTAACAATATACCATATCAGGTCGATTAGCCACGCGATCCTCTCGGAAGCCATTGTCAACCATTTCCTCGTCATCGATACAAAATAGAACAAAAGCACCACGGACACGTCACGTCATCATGTGGCGCCCTTGGTATCATCACAGATAAGATAATATTATCTGTGATGATACAAAGGATACTCGTATTTTTCATTAAGGAATACTAAGTTGTCAAGTATTAAGCAAGTAATAGAATTTTCATATCTCGCCCTTCCACCAACATTTGGATGGTTGAAAAAGGTGAGACAGAACTTTAGATGACTTTGTACAATGTCCTCTTAAATATAAAAGAATATATGAAAATCAGGCAATTCTATTAAAAATAATGTAATGATTATCCTTATGGACAGTACTCGATTGAATACACTATATATTAAAAGTTGTTGTTTTAACAATCATGCATGAGTCGTAAAGCGAACTGCAGTGCAAAAAATAAATACATAAAAGTTGCGTAGGCACTACTTACACTCATCGAATGATGCTCGTCCCCGGGCTGCGTGCGGCAAACAAGGCGATGCAACCAAACAAAACAAGTTACAACACAAACATACAGTGCCACTAAAGGAAAGAAAACATTCAGTGAACTATCTACATACTACACCTATTAAATAAACATATACTTACTAATTTAAAAAAAATAACAATTGCATGTTAAAATAATCAAAGCAAGAAATTCTAGCGAACAGAATAAAATAAATGATACTCGAGTTCTCCTAGCCTAATTTAATTATTATTAATTATAAACAATACGGATTTATTAAATTTAATTTCCTAGTAGATATAGAAAGTGATACGTTCAATATGCTGCCCCGCCAGCGTAAACCGTTAGCGCAGGCGGGAGCACCATTTCATTATCTTCTATAAAAAAAAATGGATTCCCATAGGTTCTAGTTTATCTACGTACGTATATGAGTAGAGATTTGTTTATTTTGGAAATATATTTTAATGACTTCCTTATACATAGTCTTTTGTTTCACTTCGGAAAAACCCTACACACAAATCACTCTCATGATAGCACAACTGGCCGAAATATAAAATAAAAATAAATTTAGATCAAAATCAGTGAGAAAACGTATCACAACAACACGTTCCGATAGGAAAATTCGAGATATCTGCTTGCAAAACAGAAAGAAAAGTGCTGGATTTTTAACTCAGATAGTACAGGAATCTGGAATGCGTGTTTCAAAAAGAACTGTATTCATCGTCCAGTTAACAGAGGCGATATAATTTTATTTGTGTCAATTTACAGAAGTGTAACCAAATTTTTGGAGAGTTTTACCTATTTAAAACCGTACTTAGACAACAACGTCCTGACAAAGCATTTTCTCATTAATTTTGCATTAAAAACAATAGGTCTAATCTAGTTGATCATGACAGGCATGTACTCACATAATATAACAGTTTAGGTACACAGTTAGCAGTTTTTTTACATGGGAAATATGATTTCAAACATAGTTCTACATAATTAGAGGGAGTAACGGTGAACGCGTGCGCATTCAGATAAACCATTAAAGTAATTAAATATAGGGGAAATTGCTCATGATTCAGGCAGGCCGTATTTTTTTCGGTATGCATAGTAAACGTGTACAATGGTTACTCTTTATCAAATATTATATAGGTTTAACACAACTGAGACAGTTAATATATGTACGTTTTGTTGACGGGTAATATATGGACAATGTTTTGAAAACATATATTTCGAAAAAGTAACATTTTTCTGAAATATACGTTTATTATTACGTATTAGTAGTACAATATTTAACATAGGGAAAGTGAGCAAGATACCTACTAGAAAATTGTTACAACGTTGCTAGTTTATTGAATTACATTATTCATACTCTCCCTTCTATGACATAGGCCAAAACATTTAGCTATTGATCTAGTTTATTATATATTTAATACACACTAATTTGTGTTTTATTCCTATCTTTCGAGCAATTTTCTATATTTGAAAAAAGGGGACAAAACCCTGTAATAGCCAAATAAATATGTATGTAAAATAGTTTTTATAAATCAGAAAGACTAGACGATATATCATTAAAATTATTATTGTTGCTATGGTCATATAGATAGGAGATCATATAAAAGTTTCTAAATACAATGTGTATTGTTAGCTCTATTAACAAAAATGTGCAAAAACCCTTTTATGCACATTACGCAACGCGCAAATACGTAAAAGTACATACTTTAGCATATTTAAGGAATGAAAGGCCACATATTAAAGACCAGAAGTAAAATAGTATGTTAATATAAAATTAGTTAGACATTCTATTTTATGCGATATAGGCATTATAAAAGATGAATCATTGCATTCAATGTTTATATAAATAATGTACTGCGTAATTAGGTTAAGTGAATTGTTTCTACGTTTATAATTTAATTATTTATAATTAAATTGTATGAAATTATAAATAGGTTATCTACTACAGTGACAAATGATTATCACTTACTTTATTACTTCCTCTATATTAGTAAACTATTTAACAAAACTGTATATATTCAATATTTTTTAAATAAATATATATTCAACCACGCAAATATTTCTTCAGAACTGATTTATATTTATATTAGTTAGTTTTGAATGTATTAACAACCGGTGTCTATGTACCTACTACTAAGTTGTTTATACTTAGTAAACTAGTTGAATTTGTTCTGAATTGCAATAATTTATCGTCCATGCATAATTCATAATTACATACCTACTGTATCAGTTATATAAATTTATACCATTTATTCATTATAATTAGTCATAATATTCCTATACACGACACTCACTTGGATTACGTTTTGTTGTATAAGCAGAAAATATATGTATTTAATATTTTTTGTTTAGAGTTTCTTTATAATATAATATATGTACCTTTAATAAAGTGTGTTTTAGAATGTATACATACATTCTAAAACACACTTTATTAAAGGTCATTAAGGTTTGATTTATCTGTAAAACAGTTTCATGTCTACGTGTGTTTGATAAATGGCAACAATTGTAAAAGGTAAAAATAAAGAAATATTAATACATGCAATGGAAAACTAATTCAATTAAAAAATAATGTTATTAATCTATTATTGATAATTCAATTTTTAACACATGAATATCTAAATCACAACTGACCTCCTGTAAAACCCGCTTAAGCTGTAAAAGCAGTGTTTTGATGTCAACCACATCTTGAAGCAGGGTGGCAGGCGCGGGTGACACGCTGCCATCGCTAGTGCCGCCCTCCGACGGCGTCTGCGTGCGCGAGCGTTGCAGTAGCCGCGCCGTGCGTACTGGCAGACTGGCTCTGAAAATACAATTCCAAATTAGAGACATTTCTTATTTTCTTTTATACATCAGTGGTTTTCAATATGTTTGTGAAGCCTTACTCGGGGGGTCGTCGGCTGACAGAGAAGTCGAGCTTCATACAACAAAGACACAGTTTTAGTGGAAAGGATGTGCTTGTTTATTTTACAAAAGTTTATTAAATTTTGGTTAGATTTTTGAAACGTTAATAAACAAATCATTTTCTAATTACAGTCTATTTCTATTTTTAGTTTTAATATCTGCTATTGAAGAAAATGTTAGTTCATACAAGTATGAACTGGCGAATTGCACTAATAATTAAAGAGCTTCTCTTGTCAGTTCTATATATTCGTGTTTTCGTGAAAAACAACCTTTTACCTACACTGACGTATGTAGGCTTTTAATTAAATTATTTCTTTGGTTTTCTATGACACAATTACAAAAAAAAAATTCTGGTGTCCCCACCAGAATTTTTGAATCTGTAAGGGGGTCACGAAATCAAAAATATTGAAAAACACTTCTATAAATCATATAATAACAATAACAACGGACAATATACACAACGCCATCTAGTCCAAACCAAAGCAGATCTTGTGTTATAGGTACTAGATAACTAATAGAAATATACATATATAAATATGTTCATCGTACGAGGAATCAAACCTATCTGAAGTAAAGCGCTGTGCTAAACCGCTATACCATCGAGGCCGTCACAAATAGAAAAGATTCAATTGTTCTTTTGTTATAATGCTATAGATGTTATCCGGTACTTAAAAATACTTAATAGGACATACGGTACTTTTCATTTAATCAATGGGGTGGGATTGGGAACTTGTGGATGTGGAATGGAGTGGGAACGTGTGGGATTTTTTTACAGCTACAGCTAGTAGACATTAAGAACATAGTTTAATCGGAAACCTTCTCGTTTTTGAAGATGGTTGATCTAATAATATCATGGTGATTTGTGTCGCTATGACGACAGCATTAGCGACACACCTGTACAAATTAATTAGTGAAATTGGTCGACGTTCTATTTAGGAGTGCTATTAGTACCTTTATGTTACCAGGAATCTCGGAAACCGAGCCGTACTAATTTTTAGGTTTGTACGTTATGTAGTTGTAGATTGTCATGTTTAAAACGTGGTGCTACACATGATTATAGCCTCTTTTTTAATAATAGTAGCTTAAATCCGTCCTCTCAATATAGTTTATCTTGATACACATTTTTAAGATATGTTCAGTCGTTCAATCGCTTAAAGGTTCTTTCTTTTGAAATCAATGGAACACTGATATTGATTTCTCTATTAGAATACAAAAAAAAGAACGGGACAAGAGCGTGTTAACCACGCATTATTGGGGTTCCGTAATGGTTAACTGTTTACTCTGCAAGTTATAAATGTTAAATACCACCATACTTAATCAAACCAATGGGATAAGAAGGCACTGTCAAAAATGGAGATCAGTAATCCCATTGCTAGAAATGTACTATAAGGCTAAGGCTATCTTTATGCGGTCGCCCTTAGGAACAATCGTCATTAATATCTGACGAATTGGTGACGATGTGGGAACTGAATTGACTTCGTCCCCATCGTATCGTAGTCCTCTGGTGCACTGCCAGCATATACCGTTAGCGCTGGCACGTGCACTGCATCAAATTCATCAATAAATAAAAAAAAGATGTCGATTGTTAAACAAAGTATTAGCTTTGATTTCAAACTAGCCTGGAATTTAAAAATAAATCCATTTGGAAATGTACCCGACCGGAATTAGAATTCAGTTGGGTTCTTTTAGTCGCTGCTATAGATTTATTTTGTTACTAACATCTGTTGGGATTTAGCTATAGAATTTGTACGATACGTGACTAAAGTTGATTATTGCAGAGAATTATTATAAAAACAGTGAAAAGGTTTTTTTAATATATACGTAAGCTATATATCCATACTAATATTACAAATTTATCTATCTTTTATTACCTTTTCATCACTAAACAACGGATCGGATGTTAATAAAAATTTATAAGGAATCACGGGAAACAATATGGGGCTTTCTTTTATCTCAAACAAGCAGACGAAACAGTTTACCTTATAGGTATACTATACTTATAAACCTTATTAAAATAAATAAAATATAGCCAGACTTTATACACACATACGGAACACTTAGTGCGCTACGTTCAATACGCACTTGAAGATTTAACGCCAAAGCAAAAAAAATGAGACATTATTGTATAAAAGAAGCGTGTACAAAGAACGTGTATAAAGACATGCGATTTTGTTGCATGTGGTTAATGGCCGTAGAATGGTATATGGATGGATGAATGGTGTAGGTATTTATTAAAATTAATCATATGCAATCATGTAATGTACATTTACCTGTACATACTTCTATTATATATTTATTAATTTAATATCACAGGTCGTTTTCAATATGATTATTTTTTATTTTATATATATAATATGTAACGTAATTAATAATAATATGATAAAATAATATATGAATTATAAAATCAGACAAAGTAATATATTAGAAATCAAGAATGGAAAATATATTTTTTATATTGTTTCTTGGAGGAAAATTGCTATATATAGAAATGTGCATCGCACGCACCTCATATTCTATTTTTTAATGACGCCCGGAGATGTACTTGATATATTTTTCACAGCAGACGAAACAGAACAATAACGTAGGTCAACATCTGACGTTCCATTTTTGAAATTATTAGTTTTATTTTTAATAATTATTAATCACCTTTGCAATCGATTTGTGGATTGATTAGTATTTGTGACCAATTAACGGGTTATTACATATATGACGAGAACACCTTTTTATAATAGAATATATTTTTAAACTATTGTTTATGACTTTACTTTAACGTAATTATATGTTGACAAAGAGTGAAAATGTATATGTTTTAATAAACCTAATTTTCAGTAAGACTTGCCATTTTATAAAGGTTTTGTATAAATACAAGTATTAGGTATATTAGGTAGGTACTGCGGTAATGATGCATTTTCATTTTCCTATACCTAATATGGAAATATTCCAGTTCATATTCATAAGAGCCTAATCATAAGATATAAATGCTGTGCACAATACAAATTAATTCTCTTTATCTTATCTTATAATATATTGATCCTAAAATACATACTATCGCTGCAAAGTAAGGTCTAGAGGCATTTTGTATAATTAGTAAAAGAAATACAAGTATCTACTCATTTCGGTTTTCTGTATAGCAATTATATTATCTGTGGTATAGCTAAGCGTTATATATCTATAGGTTTTCATTGATGACTGAGTGGTGCTTTATTTGTATATGTTTTCTAATTGAAGTGAGGTTTTTAAGGTGATTACGTGGATATCAACCTGACTTGTTATATTGCTGGCTATAACAGATAAATAGATAAAATCTTTATTATCTAGGTCCATCCAAACAATTAGATAGATAGATAGATAGATAGATATATTAGGTCTCAAAGATTCATGGTAATTGGTTTCTAGATATCATACAGATATATCGTGTACGGATAAATTTGGACAGCTACAATTAAAGTAAATTAGACACTTGTTAGTGAATTACTTAATATCAACAGAACTAGATACGATTAAGGCCAGACACCTAACGCGAAACATTAACATCACGTCGACATTATCAAACCAAATGGGTCAAACAAAAATAACCTAAATTCTGTAATTGGATTTAATTTATTCTGTTGCTTTAGTGTACCCATTTACAGCAGTGAACTACGTATATTTTAATAGAATAGCTATAGCCATATATGCGCAAATAAGGATAAATTCTAACAACCTATAATTACTATAACAGGATATACATTAGGTTCACGGATGCTACAGACAATTGTGCAGTTGTTCAGTAAACAAAATAAACGATTACGAAATAATCGGGCAATAGAGCATGAAAGAAAAGTAGAAAATAACAATAGTTAGCGCACGCAGACCTTTGCAACAGACAGTGACAGTGTGCAAGAGCATTTCACTTACAATAACTCAGCCATTCACAACAATTTATTAAATTGTATAAAATTAATAGTAAATCATTTGTTTCTAGTTTTGATCCCATTCCCATTATATAAAATTAATTTTATTAAAACACGTCACGTACATTAGCAGCTTTTATCTTTGTTTATTACTTTTTGGATTTAGTATAGTAATTAATTTACGTAACTAATTTCTAATGAAATAGCCAAGTACATTATAAAATATATGATCTTCCTGCATTGCACTAACGTAGTTATTTTTATAAAATTTCATTACGTACATAGATATACAAATTGCTATATGTAGGTACGCGTACCTACACGTTAACCCATAAATAGATTTAGGCGCTTAGGTTTGCATTTAAGGATTATCATAATTTTACTATAATAGCCTTGATGCAAGTTCTGTTTTTAAAATATCCATACAACTGCCGTTCGTTTGGCCTTGCGGTTTCGTTGTCGAGTAGGTAATTCTGACCTTTCCGGTATACAAAACAAAGACTTATTGCCAACGTTTGTTACTTTAATCAGATGTGAATAAATATTAGAACATGACCTGATTCATAGAAAAACCGATCTGCACTGTAAATATTAACTGAATAGTTTGGAAGAATGTTGATGCTTATACATATTTAGTTATATTTGTCTATTTAAATGATAACAATGGGCTGACATCAATACTTGAATCTGAAACTATAGGTAGTTATGATATTGATAATAGTACTAGATAACACGATAACTCAGCACGCCGCACATGCTTAGGGACCGAAACAGTTCTATTCAATCTTATATTGAAATTCTAATAATACACCGCGTCTATTCTAGATCCACTAGCAACAAACGTAAACCTTGTTTCACAATAAAAAAAAACACAGCTGTTGAATATTTTGCAAATGATCCACCTGTACTGTTTAGCCTTCTGGCTGCGCAGACTAGGTGCGGGGCTCGAGGAGCGTCCTGGAGCGATGTCTGCGACGTGAAGGTCTGTCTTCTGGCGTCGCGCGCC